TAAATATACTATATTTTTATTCAAAAATGAACCAACGGAAGTGAGTGGCATTTAAAAAAGGGACAAAAAATGCACTATTGCCAAGGATGACTTACAAGATCTCTCGAAATAGATCACAGACACACGTTTAATTAAAAAAAAAATCAGGGTGAACTTTTACAATTTACATGTTTCGAAGAAAATAAACTAGCACCGTGACTATAGATCGACATACAAGACAGTTGTATCATATATTTCAGGTTTTGCTCGGTTATACATGAAACAAAGTGTTTCTATCATCCTTAAGACTTGAATTACGAACATTTTTGTCTGCAGGAGCATTGAAGAGGGGAAATTTTTTTTACCCAGAATAAGTTGAAAACATCTCGGTTTTCTCAGTTTCTTTGCTAGTACAACTCCCATCCCCCGTCCCTTACAAAAGACCACCCTTTCAAATTCGATTTCAGCTTCACATAGATGGAGCTTAATCTGTATCCTCCATCAAGAAATGACCAAACCGAGGGTAACATCTAAAGTTAATTTAAATCCCTATTTATAGCAAACCCCCTGTTTTTTGCCTTTTCTAAGAAAATTAAAAAAAAAATTAAAAAACGAGCAAATAGTACAAAATGATATATACATGTATTGGAAATACATTTTTTCTATCCGACTGATAATTTTTTATCACGTGGAGGGATTGTTCCAAATTCAGTCTACATAATACATGTATCAAATACAGAAGATGGTCCAGACCCCTGCGTACCTTCTGTATTGTCTTATGGAACTAATGTACAAAAGATACAGTATCATGTTGTAAATTTTGATTTTACTGGGTGAAGATAAATCCAAAATTTACAACAAGATGAAAGTTGCAGGCTTTTACTCAGGAAAATCCATTTTAAGCATTGAAATGAGGGACATATTTCATACTTTCAATATTATATAAAAAAATTCTTTCCCAGAGTTTTCGTGTTGGTTCTTGATATTGCAATAATTTTTATTTAAAATCTTCGATCCAAATTATAAAAACATGTATGATAAAAATCAACAATTTACTACCAATGTATACGGTTAGGGACTGGATCGCCGGTTGTGCTCTATTCGAAATATTGATATACGGCGTAAAATATTGATCATTTTGTAAGAAATGTTCATGAAATCTAATAGAAACATTGACGTACGTGCGATTCATATGTAGAGACCAGGGAGAAAATTTTGATTAGACATGTGTAGTCAATATGAGTTCACATGAGATCTAAGGCGTTGTCCAGTAAAATCCATCAAACTTAAGTCCACAAAACTACGGGCAAAAATGAAGCCCTTTGTGAATTTGCTCTTAAACGATATTAAGATATGATCAACAATCTAAAGTTTCATTCCTGTCGATTTTATGACACATGAGTTTTTCTGCACAGGTTTTTCCTGAATCTTTCGAGCAAGCTCTAAATATCTCGTAAGAAAGAAGATGTTGGATTTAAATTCAGAATTTAAGAATGTTTCGCCGTTTCACATCGTATTTGCTCGTAGTAGACCGCCCAAACAGACCCGCAGGAAGCCCTCGCGACCCCCACCCCCATCCTACGGCCATGCAAAAGCAATATACACATGTAGATGTTAGCGCCCTCTGGGGCAATAACTTTTCTGCGAAATTATCTGAGTATATTTCGGAAATCCTGTCAAAATAACCACTGAAGACCAGATATTTTGTAAAGAAATAGAACAAGACATGAAGATATTTACCCTACAGAATCAATAAATAAATAAATAAATAAAAATCTATGCAATCCTTCAGCTGGTCAGTAGTTTCTCTGAGTAAAGCTGGGTCATTTTTTTTGTCCTTTCATTTACCTTTTACATTTCTGTATGTGCTTGTTAAAATCAAGTAATACACCTAAAATAAATATTAGTATACCAACCATTTTTATGGATTTTGAAATCATTATTATAAAAGGTATTCAAATGTATAGAATGTAAAATCCAATGCCATCTTTGTTTGAGTTCTTTCGTGCCTTCCTATTAATTGTACTAAATCTGAGGCGCCGGAAACATGCTGCAATGGTTTGTGTTGGGTTCACAAGTCGTCGGTTTTGTTTCATTGTATGGTTATTTCCGGTTTTACCCCGCGATCGAACTTTTGTATCTATATTGTGTACAAAGGCCTAGAGTAATTTAAACAGAGTGAAGACAATACGTATATGGAAATCCTTAGATTGTTCTGAGTTCTAACTACTCGATCTACTATAAACAATCAAATATTTCACTCATTATTTCATCAATATTTCAACATATCTATATTCTCTTTGACCTTATATGTTTGATAGCACTGAGTTCCCGTAAAAAAATGGCTAAAAACACATAATTGAAAAAAAATCGTAAGAAGTATATAATCTCAAAGGACTCTTATTCGCAGAATTAGCTGACTCAAAGGTTTTTTAAAATAGAGTTTTACTTTGAAAATTCATAAAGAAACTATTGCTAGTATTGAATTGTATATGGGGCGTTTGACTCATTTGACTAGCCAAAGGGAAAGATATTAAGCATGTCCTTTAATTGATCTTTTCTCCACATGTTTACTTTACTTCAAAATTTCTGGGCGGAACCTGTGATACGCACGACTCAGTTGTCAATGATACAAAGTAATAAAAAATTAATCACAAGAATGTCCAATTGTTTTAAGAAAATATAATATTACCCTTTAATAAAGGCATTTCAACGGCGACCTTCCTTTGATAATATTTTAAATGAAATATGAACTGTTTTTTTTCGATGATTGTATCAAAACCCTTGGTCTACCAACACCACGGCCAGGAACACGTTAACCTCCTTAACAGTTTCTTTGTCAGAGACCTTTAAAGTTAAGCATTAATCTCATCCGATATGAACCGGTTTATTAGAGTAGTTTGCGTCTGCGATATATACCACCCTGCTCAAATCATATTTTGATTTGCTTCATTTTTCTTTGAAATGAACATGTTTTTTCTTTTGTACAACAAATACCGAACATTAGGTACAGATCATATTATGAAACCCCTGAATTAATAATGTAAGCAACGTAAAACTGAAAATTTCTGCTGTAATGCAGGGGTCAAGACAAGTTACGAAAATCCAGTTCGTTGCCATCGGTCCGTTTTCAAAATTGTACTGTCCATCGGTACAAAAGAACGATCTGTTACTGTTTAATGCTACAGGTCATGCACGAAGAGCCTTGGACCGAAATGTCTTGCCACCCAAAATGGCAGTATAAATAGGCGAAATTTCGAAAGTCTCAATTTCAGGCTCAGGAGAGCTATTAACGACGGTTTTGGGGAATGTTTTGTGGTGGAAGTAGTAAAAGAATAGTAGGGTTAGTAATATTCTGAGATGGAATCTTAAATTTACGAAGAAATAAATCGAAAAACAGCGCACTTTTTCACATTGACTTTTTTGTGCGCAATAAATATACACTTTTTTTCAATGGATGGCACTGTAGCTCTCCGGTCTTCCATCCCAATTTTTTCAGACCAGCGAGCTAGAAAAAAGTGTATTTGTAAAACTGTACTCTAAGTTTACTTTTCTGCGCATTTTTTAACACTTTAATTTTCAAGTAATAATTATTTAAATTAAGTCATGGATATGGAAATCTGAGATAAAGGATATGATTATTTCATCAAAAAATTATTTGTTAAAAGATTAAACAAGCATAACATATATATCTAAAATTAATAATTATGAATGTCTCAGTGATTTCTGACAAAAATTTAACTTAAATTGCTGATACCCTGGATTTTTGTCACGTGATAACTCCGATGATTTCGTTGTGATATACACACGTATCAATTGCTGAAAATATAATCATTGTGGCATTTGCAACAAAACATTACTCCTTTTTTCAATATTATTTTGGCTCTGTGATTAATATTCGGAAATCATTACGTTTCGTGTTTATATCTAACACACTCCAAGGTTGGGGAACAGCTCATGTAACAATTTATTAAATAAAATCATAAATTAATAAATGAATATAATTAATAAATGAAAAACAAATTGAAATTAATTACAACCATTTAGACTTTGTATTAAATTGAAAAAAAAATTCATTATTTTTATGTATGTTAACAATAAGGATTTATTCTATTTAACCAATGAACTAATAATTAAATGTTTCATTTCCCAATGTGCAGATTCTCCACAACCATAAATAGATCGACCGCTCCTGCGCCGACAATGATTATTCTACTCTGTGACTATATTGAAAGAAACTCGTTGTTCTGAAGAACTTTTAATTCCGCACATATCTCGTGTTACGTTTTGATTAACATTGATTTTAAAAAAAAAATTTGATTAAAATGTTATATATTTGTAAGCTAAGAGACATTTGAAAAAATTCTCAATTCTTAATACAAAGGGCAGCTCTTCACCGTGTCTCTTTAAAGTGATAAATTTATATGTGATTGAAATATCTTTTGAACTTTCATTTTCTTGCTTCTTTCATTTGGTATTAACAATAAATAACATCTTAAGTCGGTTTTAAATAGGGTTGGGGCTATTGGACCTTTCTCTAACTTTTTCGTACATTTATTTTACCCCCTCCCCTTTCAGCGTTCTACGGGCCTGCATCTGTGCGAAGTAACTTTGGCAAATCTAACCTCCTCCTCCTCGGCACCTGATCCCACCTCTGGAATTTCCAACTATTTCCACGGGGTCCGTGTTTTATGCCCTGTTCACAGATTTGTTTGTTTGTTTGTTTTTTAAGATCGATCACTGCTCATTATCTTCAACTATTTCACTGTAATCATCGTAATTAACAGAGAAAATACTAGCATGTTTAGTCAAACTTGGCAATCACGCACAATGTACATAACGATTTTAACAATATTTAAATCTAAATTTTATAGAGATGTTATTACAAATAATATGATAAAATGGTACTTAGCCTCGGAAATTATTGTGTGTATAGAAATATTTTCTATTTGTACTTTGTATCATATTCATTTTACAATGGACACAGGCATTATTGATACATGTAATTGAAAAATATAATGATGTTTGCAAAAGGTAATGATGTTTGTCTGTAAATATAAAACAGCATGGATCTAAAGCATTATCAAAACTTTAACAATGCACGAATGGAATTATGCTATAATTATAAGTAAAATATATTCTATACGTCAGCCCTAAATCATTCCTTAATTCTTTTTCTCTGGTATTATTTTTAAAATCTACATTCACATGAAGAAATTAGTTGTGCATTTTCGAAATATCTCATCTAACATCTTGAGTAACTTAACAATAGCGGTATTTTCCATTTTGCATTGAGGTATATGAGAAAACTCAATGAAATTGAAGATAACGAACAGTAATTTTGCTGAAAAGTCCAATCAAACAATACGAATTGTGAGCAGAGCAAACACGGACTCTGAAAAAAGAGGTGGGATCAGATGCCATGGAGGAGTGAGCATCCCCTATCGACGGGTCACATCCGCCGTGTGCCCCTTGTTATGATCGGGTAAACGGAAAAATCCGTAGTCAATTTATTGTGAAAACAATAGCCTAACAAATGCATGAAAGATATCAGTCAATATTCGACCCGACGATAGATTGTATTGGCAAACAAGGTATCGACCATAGAATTGGCAAAATGTTGACTTAAACGATATTGTTGATACTCTAGTGTCATCAACTTATTTGTTAGTATCCTGTCTTGGTTTAGAAATTGTTCTTATGTAGAACCTGCTCTTGTGTATTGAATCAACTGGGAGACATAAACCCCATAAGCATGTGAAAATAGTATGTTGCTGCGAAAATTAATAGTTGTTTGAGATATCAGAAATTCCACTGTAATAATAATAATAATAATAATAATAATAATAAAAAAAAAAAAAAAAAAAAAAAAAAAAAAAAAAAACATTAAGACTGTAGCTCTATTAGTTTGTACTTACAGTAGCGGATGAAATAGTTACATATACACTTATTTTTTTTCCCACATTTACAGAACCCTGATGTTTTCTGAACTTGTACCAAGTTTTATTGAAATCAAACCAAAATTAGTTCATGGAGTAGGAGTGTTTACAGACAGTAATACGGACATCTTTCAATCGCCAAAATACAAAAATCGTAAATTTTCTGGCACCACACGACACAAAAGCAATCATTGATGCATTGTAAAATAAAATATCAGTACAGCACTAACTAAACATTAATTGCATATATCTGCATTCAACAAAATTATTCATTCTTTATTATAGCTGTTGTTGGAGTCAAGTGTGCAACTCCCACAGTCATGTCTGTTCAAGCCAATGCCACTGGTGAAAACAACGGAGGGAGATTTTGTCCGGAGTTAGATGATGGTGTCAATGTTACGTGTTTAATTGACCATGGTGTTGGAACTGGACAAATGTGGATGGAACCAGATGGAACCAAACCTTCTTGTGTCAGCTACGCATATGCTCAATCTGGGTATCAAACAATTCATTTATATTGTTCCGTTGATAATACTTTCTTTTATGAAAACAAAACTTTATATGTTGGGGAGGAAATAGATGGGGTGACAGTTGGTGATGAAAATGGTGGCTCCCTCATTCCAATGCCAATGTCTGCCACACTGTATGTGACATATGTTAACGGAAGTGACGTCAATGTAGAAATCTTCAGCAACACAACCAATACCATATTCTTAAGCACCAACATCACCAATAGTAGCTCCACGCATACTATCACTGCCGCGGACGTTAACAACACACTTGGTGTGCATGCTGTACGAGTGACTCTCTCTAATCCCATTTCGTCTGTGATACGTTGGGTGGCTATTGCTCACGAGGAAGAAATCACTGGATTTAACTTTACTGGATTCATCCAACCAATCATGCACGTTGCTGATGAAGTGGAATTGAATTTTACACTCTCCACAGGAAGTAGCGTATCAGTTGCAACAGAAATAAGCAATTCATTAATTGTGCAAAAATGTGAAGGTGTCCTACGAACATATTCTTACGTGTATGTTTTGAATGAAACAGGTTCATATACAGTTGTAATGACCCTTTCGAACTTTGTATCAACATTTAATTGGACATTCGATATAACAGTACAGTACCCCGTTCACAATGTAACAATTCAACAAGTTAAAAATATAATGAAAGGTGCGACAGATACTTGGGTTGTTGCACTTCCAGCTGATTCATTGTTTCCAATGGGAAATTTATTTGCAGTTATTGAAGAAGATGGTGTTCAGCAGGATAACGTCAGCTTGACTTTGACACCAGGGAATTCTCAGAACATAGCAAGAACTTATTCAACAGCGGGTTATTTCAATATTACTGTTAAAATTCAGTCCGAAATCAGCGAAATGGTTATCTCCTGGATACAAGTGGTTGAAAACGAACTCTCCTTAGAACTTTTACATTTGGATCGAGTTCCAACTTCTGAATCCCAGCAAGAGCTTGTTTTACGCATTACAGACCCAAGTAAATCACCGTTGTTCAAGCTTAACTGTACTCTAGATGTAGATGGCGAAGTTTCTACCCTAGACGTCCCGGTATTTAATTATGGTTCAAATGAGACATTTAATTACCGATATGTTGGCATTGGAAACAAAACCGTAACTGTGAACTGTTCAAATACATTACGAAACTGGGTATACACAAAAATTGTCGAGGTTTATACCGACTGCTTTGCTTCTGCAGATTTTTTCAGTACTGCTTTTAAGAGCTTAGCTACTCCTATGAAGGTCTCCATTACACAAATTGTCCAGGTAATGCTATCTTTTAAGATGAATAAAATATTATGAAATATTAATAAATTATAAATTCTATTGCATGCAAAATTGATGACAGCACAATAAAAAACTACTAGTACTTTGAATGTTCAAAAACATATTTATTTATATCTATAGATCACAGCAAAGGTAGAAGTGTCCGATTTATGCAAGAACAGTTCACGCACATATTGGTGGGATTTCTATGATGTTCCCCACAATGACCTTTCAAACCCGGAATTGCGTGAGTATTACAATAACACTGCAAATCAACCTCAAGGAGTGACTATTACTTTTGCAAAAGAAGCCATCGAAGCAGGCTTGAAGAGGCTGGTACTGAGAGTCAATTTGACCGACCAAGAAGGAGGCGTCCTTGAAGACTTCATCTATGTAAATTTCATTACTCCTCCTATCGTGGCCCAAATAACTGGGGGTTCCGAAATTACCCATGGAAAACAAACCAATCTGAGAGTGGACGCAACTTTATCCAGGGACCCAGTGCAAATCTATGTTGATCAGCCATTCGATTTCACCTGGAATTGTTTTAAAATCCCTTACCTAAATTTGTCCGACTTGACCGATTTTATGGGTAAATTCCAAACATCCAACGAGATAACACCATTGTGGCCAAATTGTACGACAACAGCCTTGCCCACCGAGGGAATTATCACAATACCTTCGACAGAACTAGAGGATAGTTTCTATTATCTTTTCATTGTGACGGTAGAAAAATTCAATGTAACCTCAGCAGGATTGCCAGTGCAGAGAAATGATTCAGTTTTTCAGGCAGTTAAAATTGTTCCATACGAGCCACCAAAAGCTGAATTGAAGTAAGTTTTACGCTATTGTACTAGCTTTGGTTTGTGAAAATAATAACATCATGTAATTGCATAGAAAAAGAATGTTTTAGAAAGTAAGAATATAAGAATACTGTATGTAGACTGTGTCGAACTCAAAAAGAAATTATTATTAATGATAATAACAATAAAAATAAGGGCAATGGATTATTCAGTCACAATAAAATTGAAAAAGAAAATTAATTCAAGAAATTTAGGTGGTTTTAGATCTTGACAAACTTTATTTAAGTATTTTTTACTGTACCAAGACTCTATTTTAATAAGATACAGTCGAACCTCGTTATCCCGAACTTAATTCTATATTTGATAATTTTCTAAAATTGCGTGTTTAAGACTTGTTCTGAAATGCAACCAAAAATAATTCGATTACATTTAAGTTATTAAAACCAAAGTCAAGCTTTTAAAAGGTTTTTAATTGCATTTAGCTGACAACATTTTTGGATCCCACGAAGACCTCGATTTAAATGAGCAAAATAAGGTTAAAACATCTTACCCAAGTTGTTTTATGCAATCTCATCAAAGAACTGTTCTAATTAGTTGTCAACATATTTTTTTATTGTACTTGCAAGTTGAAATGCTTATTGCTCTAGATTCATCACACCGTGATAGATAGGTTTACATGTATTTCTTTCAAAAAGCATATGAATATTTAAAACGTTATTTGTCATATTTTTTTTTCTTTTCGCACTAGTGAAATGTTCAATGGTCTAGATTTACCATGTGGTGATGATAATTATTTTTTCATAAGCATATGAATATTTTATTTTATTTTTGTTCAAATTTTGGTCAATTTTGATTTGCTTACAGAAGAAACTATACCAGTAACTTGATAGAGATTGAAATTTTAAATAACATTTGAAATTGTTTAAATATGTTTTTGACGTAGTGTACTAGTATCTACAGAATGTTTACTCTCTTCCAGATGTTTGCGAAATTGTATGCAGAAAATCAACAGAAACTCTGTATCTAGTTTTGAAGTGAAGTGCTCGAATTGCGATACGAACACTCTCTATAAATGGGATTTTGAAAAATATGACGTTAATACTGGTACTTTCTCATCTTTATTAAACGGTGCAGATGGGCCAGATGCGTATATAGAAACAAGAAGTAAGTACTGACTAAAGCAAAGAGAGAGAGAGAGAGAGAGAGAGAGAGAGAGAGAGAGGAATATATTGTATTTCTGTTACTCTGTAACAGTATAAGTTCTATCCAAGTGTGTAATCTTTATTTCAGCGCTGGAACTGAGTTATTTAGCATTAAAGAAAGACGTTTTACCAGAGGGAAATCAACTGAGATTAAAATGTCACATAAGTTTGGATGGAAAAAATGCGACTGTTTCAAAAATATTTTCTGTGAATTATTCGCCAAGAGGGGGCACGTGTGAAATCAACCCTGTCACAGGTAAGTTGTCTGTAAAATGATATTCCAAAAAAAACTGAAAGTTTCAGCTTTATGAAATTCGCGCCAACTCATGTAAACGTAAATAATGCATATCCTAAAAAATATGTTAAAATTGTAAAGATGTATACCGGTATTCTGTTGTCGGCAAAAGTGTTTTTAATGACCAAAGGTGGTTTGAAAATCGTAAAGACGGCAAAATTTTTAGATTTCATCGCTTCAATTGTTTCCCCAGCAATCTTTGCACAGATTTGAACAGATCAAAAAGAAAGCTTTTAATCCGACTTGGATTTATAGAGAATCAATAAAATCTGTGCCTCAAACCTCTTGAAATGAGTGTATTTTGTAACAAGCTTTAAGAAATTCTGAAATACACAATCATTTAATTGTTTTCTACTATAATATTGATTTCTTTCTGGCAAGTTTTGTAGATTTCATTTGCAGATTACAACTTTTCTTTTTTGTAAATGAGCCAAAAGATTTAAAATCAATTTACATTAAGCTAAAACTGGAACTGGCTAAGAGTAGATTGCTAAAGCATATATATATGAAGTCAATAACTGAATTGTATGTTAGGATTTATAAGATCGATGGTCGTCTACCAAATTGTCATATTTTTATTGCAAACTGTTGAACATTATTAATTTAAGAGTTGACAATGAATAAGATAAATTATACAATAATATACTTCTGCACTTTTTTCCACACTACATTTTAGGTCACCTGAGTCACTCAGGTGACCTATTGCTGTTTTCGTCCGTCGTCGTGCGGGTGTGCGTCGTGCGAAGACTTTTCACATTTTCGACTTCTTCTTAAGAACCACTGGGCTAATTTCAACCAAACTTGCCACAAAGTATCCTTGGGTAACGGTGATTCAAGTTTCTTCAAATCAAGGGCCAAGTCTTTTTCCAAGGGGAAATAGTTAAGAATTAGTAAAAAATTAATGCCATCTTTTAAAAATCTTCTTCTCAAGAACCACTGGGCCAAAAAAGATGAAACTTACATGGAAAAATCCTCAGATAGTTTAGATTCAAATTTGTTCAAGTCATGACTCCCGGGGGTAGGGTGGGGTCACAATGGACGATCTAAGTTTTACATAGGAATACATAGGAAAAATCTTCTCCAGAACCACTGGGCCAAGAAAGATGAAACTTATATGCAAACATCCTCAGGTAGTGTAAATTCAATTTTGTTCAAATCATGACCCCCGGGGGTAGGGTGGGGCCACAATGGACGATCAAAGTTTTACATAGGAATACATAGGAAAAATCTTTAAATATCTTTTTCTCTAGAACCACTGGGTCAAGAAAGATGAAACTTGTGTGCAAACATCCTCAGGTAGTGTAGATTCAAGTTTGTTCAAATAATGACCCCCTTGGGTAGGGCGGGACCACAATGAATGATCAAAATTTTACATGGAAATACATTGGAAAAATCTTCTTATCCAGAACTATTAGGCCAAGAAAGATGAAAATTATGTGGAAACATCTTCAGGTAGTGTAGATTCAAGTTAAATGTTTTAAAATCATGATCCCTAGGGGTAGGGTAGGGCCACAATGGACAATGAAAGTTTTACATTGGAATACGTAGGAAAAATCTTGAAAAAATTCTTCTCTCAAAAACAGCAAAACCATGATTGGTTATATTTACATGGAAGCATCCTCAGATAGTATAGATTCAAGTTTGTTCAAATCATGACTCTGGGGATAGAGTGGGGCCACAATGGATGATCAAAGATTTACACATGAATACATATGAAAATTCTTTAACTATCTTCTTCTCAAGAATAGCAAAGCCATGATTTGTCTTATTTATATGCAAGCATCTTTGGGTAATGTTAATTGAAATTTGTTCATATCTTGACCCCATATGGGGTAGGGAGGGGGCACAACAGATGTTTTTTAGTTGGAATTTATAGGAAAGATCATTTAAAAATCTTTTCAAAAACAACAAAACCACGATAAGTCATTTTAATTTAATTTAATTTTGGTTGTAACACGTCATTTGATTGGATAAAAAATTTATTGATATTGTATAACCTGTTTTTTTTTTTTTTTTTTTTTTTTTTTTTTTATACAGCTTTCAATTTATATTTCATTTCATATTTCATACTCAGGTGACCGTTAGGCCCTTGGGCCTCTTGTTTGAGTTTTTGTATTTTTTTTAAATCTACAATCTATATGCAGGAACCCTAGATATAGGCATTAAAATGCATTCCTCGTTTTTTAATCAATTTTATTTCAAAGTTTTAAATAAATTATATTTTTTAAAGGTGAAGCTCCAATTCCTTAAAAGAATTTTAAGTTCGACGAAACCTTGTGAAAGTGTTCATATTAAGTTTTTTTTCCCCATGGGAACTTAAAAACAAAAGCATTCAGTGCAACAAACTAATTTTCTCAACCATTATCTCTTCATTTTATAAGAGAAGCTTAAGCCCTCAAACAATCAATAACTGAGCGATTATTTTCTTCACTGGGATATCCGTTTGATCCCTATTTATGACCCATGATCGCTTATCTGTTTTTTACATCATTAATCTGACGAACTAAAGAGGATGGGGAGGGAAAATAGATGTGTTTTGCTTCAGATGTCATGTTTGTACAATACATTTGATGAATATCCATTTCTAACTTGTTTTCTTGAAAGCCAAAGTTTAATAATTGCATGTCCAATAATTTGAGGGCCTAAAATTTGAACTTTGCTGATATTCTTTGTTTGAAAGATCTAATATTATGAATCTTAAATTTGGATTTGGTAGTGTAAAACATAACAAATAAGCAAAATAGAATATAAAATTAATAACCCTTATTGTATATTTTAGTGATTTTGAGAGTTTTATATTGTCGTGACGACAATATAAAACTCTCAAAATCAATAAAATATACTCGTCCTTCTTTCTCCAACATAGCCTTTGATTTACGACATAAGAAGAGGGGGAAAATGTAACCGACATCTTAACAAAATAAACGATTTTGGGTGCAAATCAGTAATCCTTTAAGAATAAAACTAGCTTTTATCATAAACAAATAAAAAATTGTATTTCCCCGCCTCTGTTCCTCTGCCACCATTCCCTTTTTGTTCCCCGCTTTCAGTGAAAGTGGGGAATATATATATATTACTCGTCTCTCATTCTGTCTGTGTATAACGCTTACGTTTCCGGGCGATATCTCAAAAAGCCTTTGAGCGTTTGCAATGAAATTTTATATCACAAATTCCTGTGGCCTAAACAAGACCCCTATTGATTTTGAGGTCAAAAGATCAAAGGACAAGATAAGAAATTAATACATTATTTTTGTTTGTATAACACTTTGGTTTCTGGACCAATATCTCAAAAGGTCTTTGTGTTTTTGCAATGATATTTACATGACAACTTTCTGTGGCCAAAATGACCCTATTGATTTTGAGATCAAAAGGTCAAAGGTCAAAGTCAAAAATTCATACATTCTGTCTTTGTGTAACACTTCCGTTTCCAGATGATATCTGAAAAAGCCATAAAGCTTTTGCATGAAATTTCAAATCTCCCCCCATGGCCTAAAGAAGACTCTTTGATCTTGAGGTCAAAGGTTAAAGTCAGATATTCAAACATTCTATGTTCATATATAACACAATCATTTTTGAATGATATCTTTAAAACCCTTTGAGCTTTTGCATATAAAGTTTCATATTACAGCCCCTGTGGCTTAAAAAAGACGCTTGTGATCTTTAGATGAAGAGATTAAAGGTCAAGGACAGAAATTTCATACATTCTATATGTATGTATAACATTTGTTTTTGAACGATATCTCAAAAAATCCTTCCAGCTTTAGCAGTCAATTTTTTTATTTCAATTCTCTGCGACATAAGAAGGACCCTCTATTGATCTTGAGGTCAAAAGGTAAAAAGCTCGTCAGAGATCATAAATTGCAAAAAAAAAGTTTCTTGCAGATAAGTTTAGTTTTCTTTGAACTTTTTCAATGAAAATAAATATCCCATCTCCCAGTGACTTAAAGAAAACTCCTTTTGATTTTATGGTGATGATGATAATTAGTTTTCCTTGAAATTGTGTATCATACATGTAACTCCCTCTGACTTAAAGAAGATCCCTAATGATTTTGAGGTCAAAAGGCATAGGTCCAAACTACGCACATGACATAAAATGTTGTCTTGATGATAACGTAACGTAAGTTTCTTTGAGGTTTTGCATTAAAATTGCATACAACATGACTTTGAAAAGATTCGTTTTGACTTTAAGGCAGAAAGCTACAAGATCTAAGTCGGCCTGTTTTCTGTCTCCAACTGCATTTTTTCAAGTCTTCCACCTTTTTCTTTTTTCCTCAAGCGGAAGACGCAAATTCCATGAATTTGCTTGTTCAATATTTTGTCCCACATGAAACAAAGGCACACAGTGCCGAATGGAATACCGGTATACCCAGTGTCTCAGAAAAATCCCTAGTTTTTCAATCCTTTGATAATTAATACACATCTCGGTTTTCAAAATCAATTATCTTAAACATTAGCAAACGATAGGTAGTACATGTATACAAAGTAAAGGGTAGATAATTTCTGAAAAGTGCGTGTAACATAAAAAGGTATTGTCCTTTGATAAGAAATTGATATCAAACTATATATTTAAAAAAAAAACAAACAAAATTATCATAAAATATTCTCAAAATTTCTGGGTACACGATATTTACGATTGAATAGTTTTATTTCTTTATTGTTTCACGAAATTTCAGAATATAAATGCCTACTTTAAGTAGGTGATAATTTAAAAAGAAGTGAAATTCAAAGTATTTTTAATAACTATAAATAAACATAATTATAATAAAAATTAATTGTTGATTTAATGTTGATTTAATGTAACTTGGGAATGATTATCAATGTAAAATTAAACGTGAATTCATTCATGTATTCATATGTTCATGTTTCGAACACACTCGATGTCATGTAATCCATAGTTATCCTGTGTAATGGCTTGCGTCATATTATCAAATAATTTTGTTCAGCAGAGAATTTAAAAACTTTAGAACTATTGTTTCTCCCGTGTGAATTTGATATAACTTTCCTCGATATGTAAATGATTCAAAATAGTTGTCTCCCTGGTGTAAGTTTAGCTACTCAGAGTCGATATTTCATAAATTTTTCTTTTAGAATATTTCCAGACATGAAGAGATGTATTCAATTTTGCTGTTTATTAATAGAGAACGTTTATTTTTTAAAATCATAATATGATTAATTTACGATTAAAAACAGAAAACAAAATCTATACGTCTAAAAACAACTTAAGTTCATTCATCTCTAGTATGTTTTAATGTAAGAAAATCCAAGTTTGTTGTTGTTGTTTTATTTTTACCAAATTACAATGAAAAGTTGTTTAGAATGTAAATACTGTAAATTTGACAACTTGAATGATGAACAGTAGTTCATACAAATTTTGCATATTGACTTTCGTGTTTTTAGACGAGGCAAGCGTTAATTTTACTTTCACGCTTATAGGCAAGGCAAGCATTACAAATTTTATGTTCATGCTTTTAGGGTGGGCAAGCATTACATGCATATTTTATGTTCATGCTTTTAGAGGAGGCAAGCATTACATAGATATTTTATATTCATGCTTTTAGGGTAGGCAAGCATTACATGCATATTTTATGTTCATGCTTTTAGGGTAGGCAAGCATTACATATTTTATATTCATGCTTTTAGAGGAGGCTAGCATTGCATGTATATTTTATGTTCATGCTTTTAGGGTAGGCAAGCATTACATGCATATTTTATATTCATGCTTTTAGGGGAGGCAAGCATTACATATTTTGAAATCAAGTGTAAAGACTGGAAGGACGAGGAGGATAGAAATATAATGGACGACACAGTGGATATGTTCGCGTCACTGAAGTATAAGATTTACCAATACAGCGTTCGAAATGGAACTCTTGTTACATCTTACCTTGGAGAGTCAAGTACGTTGATTTATATCTTTAAGAACATTTTCTGAAAATTGTTGATTTTTATCTTATACTCACTGTAGGGTCGAGCGTTAGATAATCGAATGTTATCAATAAAATTTTACATACTAATACCCCCATTTATTTTGATTTATGTTTTAAAATTTCATTCAGTTATATAAAATACTTTTTGAAATAACAGGATAAACAAAACGCATTAGGTTTTGACTATCGCCACACGCCAACAATGTTACCTATGTCGTTATGACGTTACTGTTCGGCACTCATTTTCAGTTAATCCGCAAATCTTTTCAACATCTCACGTGTTTCTTTTTAATTATATTTGCTGCAAATTTGCTAAAAAGCGTTTTGTTTTGAGTTGTATTTTAAAAATATATATTTGATGTTTATCTAAATATTTTTTCAATCCTTTTGCATAGATCTTATGAGAGTAAGTGACGTCAAAGGTTGTCCAATCGTTCACTCATTTTCGTCTACCTCAGTTGAAATGTTGAGAAGTTTGATAACCTGACTTAAGATTTGACGTTCGAAATTTTTTTTTATTAATAAGAGAAATAACTATCTGTATAACGAAACAAAAGTTGCATTAAATACCAATGTAAATGGAAGTCCAAAGATTGGACAGATGATAGAAAGAAGAAAGTGCGTGGAGGATGAGCATTTCACGTCACCCTCTCTAAAATTCGACGCTGCACGTGCGTACAGCGAAATAATTATGCAAATGTATCATGGAAAGTAAAATATATCTTTCTAAAACAGTTCAAAAGTAGACGCTCCGGCAAGTTTGGAGTGTACTTGCAATAAAACATTTACATGTATTATATATTTCTTTGTTTGTTGTTTAACGTCCCTCTCGAGAATGTTTCACTCATATGGAGACACCGCCACTTGAAGAGCTGCAAATTTATACCTATACTCGGCACTTAGGGCCATTGAGCAGTGAGGGATCTTTTTCTTTCCAACACCTACTACATAAGGATCAGCTCCTTACTCCGCGACCCTAGAACAGACGCCCAAACACCTGTACCGCTCGGGCGTTTACATGAGAAATATCATATTAATAATGACGTCGGTATATTCGAGACCTAACGTTGTGTTTATCTTGAAATCTTAAAAAGTATTGCATATATCTGAAGGAAATTTTACGCCAAAGATCAAATAGACATAGGTATTTATATATAAAATTTTGTTGCTAACTTTCGATTATTTAAGTTTTTATAGCAGTTGTGATATTAATTTTGGATCAATCGATTATCTCAATATCTACATTAGTTAACTAAGTTTTAAAGATCACACTCTTGTTAAAATCTGATTCCAGTGGTACATAATTAAGAAATAATGTATCATTTTTAAACATCTATCGAGATATAAATACGGGTTGGTCACGAGATCAAATTAATTCCATAAAGCCCGTATTTATTTAAGGAATCACTGTCTTATCGCCCGTTATGCAAATTATCCCACGTTTCCAACTATTGTTGATGCCCTGGCATGCTCTACTAACTAGACAGTGATTCCTTATATTTCCATTTCACTGTGAAATAAAATTGTAAATTTAGATTTTAAAAAATGTAGACTAATAGATTTAAATTACACGAAGCCTCACATGTCAATTTCAATAGTCCCCGCCCACTGACGTCAAACACAAAGACAGCCGCACGAGAATTACATGCATATTAGGCCTTCTTAGCTCCTGACCTTTCGCTTGGAGAAATTTGCATTATGGTAGAATGATCAAGAAATCAACTCTCCTAACTTTCAAAGAGTTATCACAGAGAAAACAAATAGAAATGGAAATATATCCCGATAGATGTTTAAAATGATACATTATTACTTATATTTACATTTTTGACTTATTCATATTTTATATTTTTCTGCTTACAATCTTTATCGCGTGAAGTGTTTTAAGAAATCACTGTCTAGTTAGTAGAGTATGCCAGAGCATCAACGATAGTTGGAAACGTGGGAAAATTTGCATAACGGGCGAAGCCCGTTATGCATAAATTATTCCACGTTTCCAACTATCGTTGATGTCCCTGGCATACTCTACTAGCTAGTCAGTGATACCTTATATTTCCATTTCATTGTGAAATAGAATTGTAAATTTAGATTTTAAAAATGTAGACTAATAGATTTAAATTACACGAAGCCTCACATGTCAATTTCAATAGTCCCCGCCCACTGACGTCAAACACAAAGAAAGCCGCACGAGAATTACATGCATATTAGGCCTTCTTAGCTCCTGACCTTTCGCTTGGCGAAATTTGCATTCCGTTAGAATGATCAAGAAATCAACTCTCCTAACTTTCAAAGAGTTATTACAGAGAAAACAAATAGAAATGGAAATATTTATTTTTCAAACTCAACGGCATGTATTTGATCCATTGATTGCACGTCGACCTTTTATGACGTCACTGAGAAATTACGTCGAACGTTTATGACGCGAGGAACCCGTGTTTATACGGATATAGATACACGTTGCTTGCAATAGTGTTATATAAAGAAAACATTCGCAAATGTAAATATATGTCGATAACCTAAGATAGAGCATGAACACAATACTAGTAATTTAAAACATTTTCTGATAATCACTTCGAAAATATAAAAAGAACTACCTTCCTTTCTATCCGAGTTAAGTTTGGCAAAGCTTGGGCACGAATTATGTTTGTTTCACGCCGTAGGTACATGTATATCGTGTCAAAACTTTTTTTTCAAGGACTTGTCAAATTACCTGGCTTTCTTTTATATAAAATCAAGATATCTTTGTTTATGTGGTTTTAGAAAAATGATAAATTTGAAGAATTTTTTATCAGCTTAAAAAAGACACGTGTGCAGGTCTTCAAGATCGAGCTATTTTATTATTATTATTATTTTGTTTGAATTTGTTTTTTGATCACTTGTTTAACGTCCTTTCGAGAATTCTTCGTGCCAGCACCACTGCGACACAAAACCTTGTTTTATAAATACGGTCTCTTCCGTAGGATCGTTCTCCACGTCACACAGTGGATTCGAATCCGCAACGTATGTATCAAATCCTAACTCCGCGACTCTAGAGGACCCTCTAGCCACTGGGCAACGTGGCCGACGCTAGTTTATTTGTAATTGCATTTTAGACATTCATTAAAATAGACACAGTCTGAAAATGGAAACCAAAGTTTTTGTAAAATAGACAATTCAAATACCTTTTAAAGTTTCCCTTCTTCCTTCTTTTTTGTAGCTGAGCCGAATGCCAAAGTTTACCTTGGAATAGGAGACCCTAGCAATGATTATAATAGTAACATAACCATCTACATTTACGATAAATACAATGGAATGACAGCGTATTCTCTCCCAATACAGGTATGTATTTTTAAATATCCTGCTTTGCGAAACTGAGGGGACATTCAATCTCATTCGTCTGCACGTCCGTCAGTCTGTTTATCATGAAAACAAAAAAGATAGGGCTTCTATATTTTTCATGTGCATTACCTGACAAAACCTTTCTAAATACAATATGATTTTTGATTTTTGAACCCGTGACCTTGAAGTTTAACCTACTTTTCAAAATATTAATATTGGTCATAACTTTTAAATAAAGAAATACGGCGTTCATATTTCATATGTGCATTACATGTGACTAGTCCTTTTCCTTTCTGAATGTATTATGAGTTTTGACCTCATAACCTTGATATTGATGACCTACATTTCAAAAATTTTAACATTGGTAAGAACATTTGAATGAGAGAGCATATGGCTTTCTTATATTTCACATGCACATTACCCTGTGACAACACCTTTTATAAAGTTTTATCATTTTTGAACTCATGGCCTTCACATTTCCAATTTCTTTTAAATGAAAAAAAATTGGTTAAAGCTTTTGCACCTAAAAGACAGAAGTTTTAATATTTTAACCTTGACATGACCTTTCCCAATATACGACGACTTTTGACCTCACGACGTGTATCTTGAAGTTTGATTTTTCTTTTTGAAAAATTGAAGTTTGGTCGTCACTTTTGCACCAGAAGATACAGGGCTTTCGTATTTTTTTTCCACATGATCATTTACTTGTGACAAGACCTTGGGGAATGTACATCGTATTATGATATTTGATCTCATGACCTTGACCTTGAAGCTAATGTAGTTGTCGGAGTAGGAATCTTAGCCTTAACTTTTATTAATTCAAAAATTTAATTTTTTTGTATGATGGACAGACAAGACATAAAAGACAGACAAGGCAGTTACAATATGCCATAGATACTGTCACCCCAGCCAATAAGACCCCGACAGCTGGGAATAACAATTCTCTGAATTTGCTTGTTTTCTCTTGTTATATAAGTAAGCTGCTTTCACTCCATTTTTTCCTTAAAACGCTATCAACTGCATCAGTAAAGATTTGAATACATTTCATTATTTCACATGCATGAACTAAATATGGTTTTAATAATAAATACACATCTAGGCTCGAATAATCTTTTGGAAATACAATGTTCTTTGATTGACTAGTATTGTAAACTCCACAGTGTGCGAATATTACATTTCCCAATATAGCACATGATTTTCTACATATATTACTTTTAAAAAGACAAGGAATCCTAATGAAAAGGATCTATTAATTTAGAATATTTACATTCGGTGTAATTTTCTTTATGAAATCCACGACGTTCAAATCTCTATATCACACGCAAAACCTTGTCACCGCGCGGTAGAATACACAGTAGGAACTATATGCATTTTCAATATCTAGGAACACCAAAATGTAAATTGTGTTGACTTAATTTAATTAAAAAAAACAACTACCCTGTTAAATTAACGTAAATATACAACAGTTGTGTGTTTAAAATTAATTTTTCTCGCAATGTTCATTGCGTTATTTAACTTTCCAACGTCACAAACGGCTCTTATGTCTGTTCTGAAAGGCGCTAAATTCATAAAAAATAAAAGAAATAAACAATTATGTTTATGTAAATATAAGCATTGAATTCTTATTTTTGGATGTCGTCTGTCCTATAACACACCTTGCCGTGCCGACAAATATTCGATTTGTCGGCACGGCCAGGTGTGTTATAGGACCGACGACATCCAAAAATAAAGTGCACATTGTCTTAACACACTTTCTTCCATTGGCTATCTCTAAGAAACATTTTTATTTTAGGTCACTAATCCCCTTGCAAGTTCTACATTGCCAAGTGACACAAACGTAGATGATTATTACAAAAAAGTCATGGAAGAAATACAAAAAACCGGAAGTCCAGAGCTTTTAATGAAATCAATTGAATCTATTACTTCTGTACTTACGGACTTTGTGAGTAGTTCTATTTTCTCTCTTATCTGAAAAAAGGACAACATTTCTTCAAATTTATTAATGGTAGCTTGATTGAAATTTTGAAAAATATAAAATTACTTAAAACTCAGTGATCACGACTAGCCAAAACTATTCTTACCTTGTAGACGATTGTTGCTAATGACTCGTACCCGAATATAGAAGTTAGTAAGGTCCCTACCCGGTGGAATGAAGGCCTGATAGATCTCCAAGACGTAAACGGAACACAGGTCATGGCCAGTTATGATGCAATGCTCGAAGATATTCTGCAACAATCGCAAAATCGTTATCAGATTAAAGTACAAGAAGTAAGTGTCATTATTTTTATTTTCAAATTAGAAAGAATTAAATAGAGCATTTTTATGCCCCCGTATCGAAGAGGTATATAGAATATAGAAGGGTATATAGTTTTTGCCCTGTCCATCCGTCTATCTGTCTGTCTGTTTGTCCGCAAAAATTTTAACCTTGTCCATAACGTTTGATTGGTTGGAGCCATGGCTTTCATATTTTACATATGTATTCCTTGTTACAAGACCTTTCTTTGGGTACCACCATATTTGACTTCTTGACCTTGACCTTGGAGTTTGACCCAGATTTGCAAAATTTTACCAAACTTTAATCTTGGCCATAACTTTTGAATAATTGGTGCTAGGGCTTTCATACCTCACATGTGTAATCCTTGTGACAATACCTTTCTTTGAATACCAACAAATTTGAACTTTTGACCTTGACCTAGGAGTTTGACCTACTTTTGAAAAACTTTAACCTTGGCAATAACTTTTGAACGTTTGGAGCTAGGGCTTTCATACTTCACATGTGTAATCCTTGTTACAAGACTTTCCCTTGAATACCAACAAATTTGAACGTTTTGACCTTGACCTAGGATTTTGACCTACTTTTGGAAAATTTAACCCTGGCCATAACTTTTGAACGCTTGGAGCTAGGGCTATCATACTTTACATGTTTAATCCTTGTGACAAGACCTTTCTTTGGATACCAACAACTTTCACCCTTTGATCTTGACCTAAGAGTTTGACCCACTTTTGGAAAACTTTAACCTTGGCCATAACTTTTGAACAGTTGGTGTTAGGGCTTTCAAATTTCCCATTTGTAATACTTGTGACAAGACCTTTCTTTGGATACCATCAACTTTGACCCTTTGACTTTGACCTTGGAGTTTGATCTGCTTTTGGAAAACTTTAACCTTGGCCATAACTTTTGAACAGTTGATGTAAGGGCTTTCATACTTCACATATGTAATCCTTGTGACAAGACCTTTCTTTGGATACCAACAACTTTCACCCTTTGACCTTAACCTTGTAGTTTAACCTAGTTTTGTAAAATTTTAAACTTGGTCATAACTTTTGAACAATTTGTGCTTCAGCTTTCATATTTCACCTGTGTATTTCTTGGAAGAAGGCTTTTCCTTGGGCATCATTAATTTTGACCATTTGACCTTGATGTTTGACATACTTCTGAAAAAAACTTTAAACTTTTCCATATCTATTCAATGGTTGCTAGGGTTTTCATATTTAATAGGTGTATTACTCGAGACAAGACCTTACTTTGGATACCAACATATTTGATTTGCATTTGAGAAAGTTTAACCTTTGCTATAAGTTGCCATACAGGGGACATCAGTGTTTCACAAACACATCTTGTTTACAATAGCAATTAAAAAAATATTACACGAAATTATTTCTGGTAAAAAAATTCTCCTTTTTGATTTTACAAGTAAATTTATGATTTTTAGCTCACCTGAGCTGTGACATCCTGAAGTAATGTTCTAAATTGTTCAAATCATGACCCCCGGGGATAGGGTGAGCCACAATAGGGAATCTAAGTTTTACTTTGAAATAAAGGAAACATCTTCTTCTCAAGAACCACTGGGCCATAAAAGCTGAAACTTATGTGGAAGCATCCTGGGCTAGTGTAGATTCTAAATTATTCAAATCATGATCCCCGGGGGAAGGGCGGGGCAATAATAGGGAATCCAATTTTTACATCAAAATATATAGGAAAAATCTTTAAAAATCTTCTTAAGAGCCACTGGACCAGAAAAGCTAAAACTTTAGTGGAAGCATCCCGGAGTAGTGTAGATTTTAAATTATTCAAAACATGACCCCAGGGGGTAGGGCGGGGCCACAATAGGTATTACAAGGGGGGTCAGGTGAAGAACAGCAGGGCCAAAGTTACTCAGGTTAGCGTTGTGGCCCATGGGCCTCTTGTTTTTTTCTTTGCATGCATGATAAACCAAAACTTAATAGAAACAAAGTTTATAAGGCAATATGATTTGTGATTATGGAATATAAACTTAAGTTGCATGTTTTACACTTCTAGACAATAACTAACCTCACGCAGAATATGTTAGACCAACTACAAAGAACAAACTCTAGCACATTTTCCTGGGTGGAAACAGCGTCAAGCGCGTTTGGCAATGCTCTGATGAAGGAAGATTTTATTTCTGAGGAATCAGTGGTATAGTATTCAGAAGAGGGAAAATATAAGAGTCTTATTTCACATAAAAACATAGAAAATCATTAAAAAAAAAACCAACCAAATGCCAAATGAAGCTATAGGAAGACGGCTTTCGGTATGTTTTGAAGAGAGAGAATACAGATGTTTAATTAATATTTAAGGAAAATGAAACAGGTAAATTCTATTTGTTTGAAAGCAAAAAAGAAAGAAAAAACATTTCAAGAAATGCATCCAAGTGCTTTAAAATTGAAATGAAAATTATGCAAAGCAAGCACCCATTCTTTAATAGAACTTATGACTAAAGCAAAAAAAAATGTTGGTTGATCTTAAAATACTGTGGACTTTAATGAAAATGATCTATGAAATTGTCTTAATTAATCTTGCAGAATACATACATGGATAAAAACAAATAAAAAATTCACATTATGCAAATGTTTTTGCTATGTGATATTAACATATAATACAGATATTATTAAGAAAAGTGACGAAACCTTTAATTACTAATTCATTTTTGTAATTAACCGCATTGTTTCTTTGTAGAATCGAAATGAGGTTTTATATGTATATTTTATACTTTGACATAAATGCTTCAACTTTTCAATCAAAAAATCCTGAAACGTAAGCTATTTTAAGCGAAGTTTAAGCGCGGCGTTTTTATTACAAAAATAAAAGAAACTCCTCTTGGATTGAAGCAGTGTTATTATTGATTCTGCCTTGGGGCTGATGTTATATAGTTAATCCTAATATTCTCGAAAGCACATGAATTATTACAGAATTTACAAAGATATTGAATGTAGTTGAAATGATAGTGCCAATTAAATGCAAGGAGAAACTTGCATGTTTTACAAGCATCTAAAAAGAATATTTTTGTTTAATTTATTTGTACAGAGTAAATACGAGGAAATATTTTTCGAAATACAATTTAAAATGGACTTTAATGATTTAATGATACATGTACAAACATACTTATGTAGTAACTTTGTTTTTAATTTTTAAACTCGATTTTTCAAGTTAATATTTCTTCCATTTTCACACAATTCCTATACTAGAAAAACAGAAAATTTCTTTTAACTCGCATGATGCACGATGCATTCCAAAGACTGAATGAAAATTTGACTTTGAATTCTAAAGTAACTTACCACAGGAACCCCTATTTTTGGCTTACAGTATGATTATTACCTTACTGGGCGTGTTAGCAATGTTTCAGAGCGAAGAAATATGGTTTCTTATTAATTATAGCATCCGATATTTATTTCAGAAGGGAATAAAAACAAACTATGAACTGACGAACAGATAATTTGCAATTAAATTTTATTATACATTTCAAAATCATTTCTAGGTACATGCTTCACAAGCCTTAAAACAACTCACTGGTGCGTTCTCAAATTTGACTATTAGCCAGTATCTTGGTGATGATTCCATTTTTAGTAGCAGCAGTTCAGCCATCGAACAAGCTGCTTCCGGTATGTTTTGTGTACGAGTGATTTAAAACTTGTCGTAATCATTAAGCTATTAGCTTTTGTGATTTTGCTTTGTTTAGTATTATTCTCAATATTAATTTTGACGCCAATAATAAACCAATTAACTGAGATAAAGAACATATACTAATGCTCTACAATGCATAGATTTTTAAATGTTTTTTTTTTGTGTGTGTTTATGTGTGTGTTATCAATGAACAGGTTAAATAACAAGTAAAAAAAATGATATTAAGTCTATTGTAGGTTTCATCCATAAGAGAGTAAAAATAATTGATTTAGCTGACAACATTGTAATTTTATTTTAATCTTTTGGGTATATTGAAGACAGTGCATAAAAGAAATCTCTTTCGACTTCTAGACCGCGATTATATTAAGATGATTACATGAACTTTTGACTATGCAGGTGCATATAGGCCTATATGATAATAAAGACATATCCTTTTTAGTTTTTCTGGCAAATAATTTAGAATTTCGTTATGTCCACTAAAACAAAGTTGTAGGACATGTTGTTATTACTTTAACTATTTTTTTTATTTTGCACTTGTATTGTGGATACAGGCTCTTATATAATTATGTGGTAGCTAAAAAGCATCATGTAGTATGAATGCACATGAAGATACACGTGATATTCGTAGTATTTTGTTAGCAAAATGAGACATGATTGAAAGATACCTCTGGCTTTTACAAATATGAACGTTAGTTATTGTATTTTAACAATAGTAACCCATCAGTAATTTAGAAGTCTAGAGTAATGCATTTGCTTTTCATGTTTATTTCAAGCATCAGATAATAATCGATTTTTAATCTTTTTATTGAAAATGTGAATATACCCTGTTCTTGTATAGTTGAAATTAGATTCCTTTATCAAGGCAGGGGCAAAAGACTTTTAATATACAGCTCTGTTCAAAATGGGTTTTGAATTTCATCCATGGTTATCAGCATAACTAAAAAAAAAGTTGTGCATTCGCAACTTATAACCGATGAAAATCGATTTAGTCACAATGTCATGTTAAAAAGTATCTCTTATAATTTATTTTAAATCAATAAAATGCAATAGTCGAACTTTTCCATCTGCATTCTAATTTTTTTTTCATTTGAACTGTTTATTTCACAATTTACTTTGTATATATTTTTATTTGTACATGTATTTTAAAATATTCATTTGTATTCGGTAATTTTTTATTTGTATTATAAGCTTTCTATTTGTATTGTGTGCTCTTTCTTTTTTGTAACCTATAATTTCTATTTGTATTATATATTTCGTTGTTTAAATTGTATAATTTCCATTTATATTGTATGGTAATTATACCATATGCATTCTATAAAGTTTCAATCTGCATTATATGTGAAATCCATTAATTTTATATTCTATAATAAAATATACATGTAATTGTATTTATAAATTTTGTTATTGAATACTAATGGAATTCACATACAATATAAATTAAAACATTATAGAATGCAAATTGTGTATGTGTATTACACAATACAGATAGAAAATATAAAATTCAAGTGGAAATTTTAAAAAAATACAAATGGAAAATTACAGAATACAAATAAAAACAAACATCATAAAAAATTGCAACAATATAGATAGCAAAAGTACAGGATACAAATGGGAAATTATAGAATACAAATGGAGAACAAAGAATACAGATGAAAAATTATGGAATACAAATAAAAAAAATATGTGTTATGATACAATTTAAAAAATGATACAAAACCAATGAAAAATATACAATACAAATAAAAACTTGTACAACAAAAATTAAAAAAAATTGTACGATACAAATGGAAATTATACACTACAAATGGAAAAAAATGTTTGACATGTCATATATTTGATGTTTTAAGGAGAATCTTTCATTCAGTTACACTTCCTTTCTCGTGACTAAGCATTGCTTATTCAGGTTTTGCTCCCGTGAAATACTAGTAGTCTTTTTGAAGAAGAAAAACCTTGGTTTAATTATTTTTTTTTGTATTTTGCGCTTGTGTTGTGAATACAGGCTCTTATATAATGTGGTAGCTATAAAGCATCATGTAGTATAAATGCACATGGAGATACACGTGAGATTCTTAGTATTTTGTTAGACCTGTAGCAAAATGAAACATGATTTAAAGATACCTCTGGCCTTTACAAATATGAACGTTAGTTATTGTATTTTAACAATAGTAACCCATCAGTAATTTAGAAGTCTAGAGTAATGCATTTGCTTTTCTTGTTCATCTCAAGCATCAGATAATAATCGATTTTTAATCTTTTTATTGAAAATGTGAATATACCCTGTTCTTGTATAGTTGAAATTAGATTCCTTTATCAACGCAGGGGCAAAAGACTTTTGACATAGCCTATAGCTCTGTTCAAAATGTGTTTTGAATTTCATGCATGGTTATCAGCATAAATTAAAAAAAGTTGTGCATTTGAAACTTATAACCGATGAAAATCGCTTTAGTCACAATGTCATGTTAAAAGTAACTCTTATAATTTATTTAAATCAATAAAATGCAATAGTCGATCTTTTCTATATTTTTTTTTCATTTGTATTGTTTATTTCACAATTTACTTTGTATATTTTTTTTAATTTGTACATGTATTTTGAAATATTCATTTGTATTTATGCTTTCTATTTGTAGTTTATGCTTTCTATTTGTATTATATGGTTTTCTATTTGTATTGTATGTTTTTTCTTTCTGTTTTTTTGTATTTTCTAATCTCTATTTGTATTCTATATTTCGTTGTTTAAATTGTATAATTTCCATCTATTTTGTATGATTATTATACCACTTGCATACTATAAAGTTTCAATCTGTATTATATGTGAAATCCTTTAATTTTGTATTCGGTAATAAAATATACATGTAATTGTATTTATAAATTTTGTTATCGAATACTGATGGAATTCACAAACAAAACAAATTAAAACATTATAGAATGCAAATGGTGTATGTGTATTACACAATACAGATAGAAAATATACAATTCAAGTAGAAAATTAAAAAAAAAATACAAAATACAAAAAAAAAAAAAAAAAAAAAAAATGCTTACAATACAGATGGGAAATTACAGAATAGAAATGGGAAGTTATAGAATACAAATGAAAAATTAGGGAATACAAATAAAACAAATTATAGATTACAAATGAAAAATTTTAGAATACAAATTAAAAAAAACACGTATAATGATTCAATTTAAAACATAATACAAAATCAATGAATAATATACAATACAAATAAAAAAATTATACAATATAAATAAAAAAATTATACGATACAAATGGAAATTGTACAATACAAATGGAAAAGATCCAATATTGCAACGTTTGACATGTCATATGTTTGATGTAAGGCGAATCTTTCATTCAGTTACACTTCCTTTCTCGTCACTAAGTTTTGCTTATTCGGGTTTTGCTCCTGTGAAATAGTATATATATATATATATATATATATATATATATATATATATATATATATATACGGAGAGAGAGAGAGAGAGAGAATTGAATTTATTATTTGAAAAGAAGTAGAATGATATTGAACTTCATTCCTCGGGAATTAAACGAATTTTCTTTTGTATTTATTTCTTTATTAATGTTGGCCCTAAAGAAGCTTTTCCCATTATTCAATACTAACAATCAAAGAACCGTTCATTATTCTGATTTCAAAGAAAGTCACATGAGATCGATCAGGTGTATGTTTCTCTAATTTTCAATCGTTATTGGTTTTATCTGAAAACAGTAAATGTGGTTTCTTTGAACCAAATGAAATCAATAAGAATGCATATTATTTTAGAGCTTGCATACGCATATACAAGTCCAATTGTACTTGGAGAACACGAATATCAATAATATGAGGGGGTTTTAACCTCTAAAATATATTTTATATCGTGAAACCATTTTTATTGTTATGGATACTTGTTTTAAAATTCAAATGTAATCAATTACATAATGTCACTTGACGTTGAAATGTTTTCTAAAAAAAAATTAGCTTTGATCTTTCTTTGCTGGTAAAAAAAAATTCCCATTTTTTATCAATAGGACTATCTGCTCTCCCTACTGTAATGTTTTACTTTTCGAATACATGTACATGTTTTTATCATCCTGATTACTGTAGATTTATCGATAGTTTTTGTTCCTAACCTATCCTTACAACTATGCAGCTTATTTTCTTCGAATCTGTGAAATTCTTATTTTCCATCAAGAAAACAACAAAAACCTAGTTTTGATATTCTTGTAGGTATAATGCAGCTGATGGACTCTATTGTGGTAAATGCTGTCCCCAATGATAATGTCAACACCTCCGACGCCCTAGTGGCAGCGACTGACACAGCTTCCTCCCGACTGTACGTTAACTATCTTTTTGCTATGAATGAAGATGCGGCATACGAATACGCTGAAAATGGTACTTTGACTCCAGAGGAAAGAGTGGGTATGTTCTACATGAAATCCAGGATATCGCAGATTGAATTCGAAAAGAAACGAAGAACAGTAAGTTCAAACTTCTTCTAGGTTTATTGTGATTCTAACATGCAATATCTTCACCAAGAAATAAAACCCTTATTTTGACAACGGACATGCCTTGTTGTAGAAAATGTGTATTTCTTTCTATGGATATTATGAAAGTCAGTAAATCTTTACATATCTTATTAACATTACTGTAGTGTAGGAAAACAAACTGAATTTTTGCTTATTCTCAAATATAGTTTAAATGATCTTTACTATTCAAATTGACAACTACTTAAAGTCATATATGGCGTATTTTTTTGATGTTCAGGTAATCAAAATTAAAAAGATCTTTCTATTTTTTTAAATTACTTTATATAAAGATAGGACTTCCCTGTAAATTACACAATTTAAATCAATCGCGTTTCAAAGATATTAAAATTTAAAACAATTTTCAATTTATTTACCGACTCCACATTTAAATAACAGACAAATTTAGAGTCAATTTAACTATAGAAACGTAAGTTTATTCAAGCTCAAAATTGGTGAAAATTTCACTTTCAACGTAAATAACATATATCATTTTTATTTACACCCAGTCTCGTGTAATCAATTTTCAAGCTCAGATACGCCATATATAGCTTTAAAATATAAAATATATAAAACCCTACATGTCAATATATACATATGTAAAATAAAGGATTACAATATGATAAAAAAAAAAAAACTATGCACATATTTTTAATCATGGAATAAACAAAATTAATTTTAAATCCAAGAAATGTGTTCATCATGGCAAATTCCAGATAAACATTTCAAAATTTATAATGCTGTTTTAAGGGCACTAAATAAGAGCAAAAAGTGGCCAGTGTCAAGGTAAACTTGTGTATGTTATATGTATATTCCTTTTATTTTTCTCTCTTAATTTTTATATACATGTATATATATTTTTTAGAGTGAAGAGTCGGGTAGAGCATTAAATGATGCAGTAGAATCTTTAACAAAGTCGATGATGTCCGTGGAATGCACAGGTTGTACTCGTACTTACACGAAGCCAAATATGGAGATATATATTCAAAAGGACACCGTGGGTATTTTAGAGGCACCCAATGGAACATCAGTCAGTTTAAACTTGTCATTAAGCTTTGGAGCTCTCCCAAAAGACAAATTTGTTCAATTTTCTGTGAGTATTTTATCAGCTGGAACATACTTTTCAGAAATTAAATATTTATGTTGTATTGTCTGTAATATCAATTAATAATTTAAAATAAACAAATACTGTTACACGGAAGGGGTTTTATATCACATAAAAAGATAATACTTTCCAAAGTATCTCTTGCTGTAGCAGAATCCTTCTAAAATATGAACGAAATACTAACTTGAGGCGTCTTTTGCAGGCAACTGAGATGAAAAAAAATATTTATTTGTACGACCATTCTAAAACAGCAGCTCTTATTACATCACCTGTCCAAAAGCTTTCTGCTAAATCACAAAATGGTGGACAAGATCTGTCGGTCTATGTCGTTACTATACAACAACCAGTGAAGTCGGATTTTAGTGAAGTAAAGCTCACAAAGCCGGCTTTCATATCAGGAGATGCCTCTGGGTTTTTTTACCATACATTCTTGTACAGAAATCTTGGAGACTATGCCTGCTTCCACATTGTTCAGCAAGACCCTCCACTAAATGAAAAATATGATGTGTATTTACGTGCCGAAGATTTCCCCACCATCTTTCAGTATGACGCCAAAACGGAAGTGTCTGTCAATAGAGACTACATGGCTTGTATTCCTCCACAGAAATTAACTTCTGTAGGAATCATGCACATGGGGCTTAAGCCCACACCCATTCCATGTAAGTTCTTTTCACTTTTCTCTTGATGTTTTTACTATTGAAGCAAATATTTAATATTGCAATCAGTAAACGCCCATCTGTATCAATATTTTTTAAAATAAGTTGTACTTTCTTTATTATATGAATTTTTATACCTTAATAGATGTAGTTCACCTACCCAATCCAAGAAATATTTTTTGTGCATTTACACCAATATTATCATTACCACGAATACTAGACATCCACTTATCGCACGATTCTTTTATCGAAAATCCATATATTTTCTTTATCGGTTCAGTCTTATTTCTTTTCTAGTAAACATTTAGATAGGCATTGCTTTTTATCAGATAAAAAGATGTCACTTAACATTTTAGCCTCATAAATGCACCATAATAATACTGCATATTTAATATTCAGTATGTTTTGCAAAATTTCTGTCCACCAATCATAGATTCTTCACCATATAACGGAAATTGTTTATACATTTATATTGGCAATGCACAATGCCTCCTTTAATGCATATATTTATTCCATTTTATCACTTTTATATTGAAACACAAAGTCAAGATGTATTTACACATTTCACAATTTCAACATATGCAACGATAAAAAAAAAATTGAAAACAAGTAGCGAGTAACAAGCTAGAATCACTGGTGTCGTCTGAAAGACCCCTATCCTTTACTTAACTAATGCAGAGTATTTGGTAGAGGAGAGTCATTACTAATTTGAAATGCTTGTTCGGATCCATGTTTCGGTACCAAACTCATAGCATTCCTCACACGAAGCAATTTTTAAGAACAAATAATCTTAAGATAAATTTCTTTGGGAAAATCACAAAATTTGTTATTTTCTCGTCCTTTAGGGAAGGTATATGATTTTTTTTTAAAGTTTTAATAAACGTTTATGCACTTTATTTATAGTCTTTTAATTCAAAACCCAAGTTTTCACACTTACTTTGCGTATCCTATGATCATTTTCTATAACATTATTCAAAAGTACACATATTTCAGATCATACTGGCCGAAGGAAACGAGCAGCAGGTGCCTGTAAAAATATACACGTAGTCATAGAGTATTATATAGTGGGAAAACATCGCTGTGTTTTATATAATCAAATTAAATTGAGGTGTATAAAGTATTCTCAAACTACAAATCTCAAAAGTTTATGCTCTGTAACAAAGCAAATTTTGATGAAGATTATAAATGCAAAATTGAAACACAGCAATTTTATCTGCTATAGAAATTGTGTGTCTGAGAGTGAATTTGGTGCCGGGTATTGGGGGTTCAGCAGGTATAGGGGGCTTAATGAATGGATAGATACATATTTAGACTCCATATTTAGCCGTGATTTTATTTCATTGGTTATTGTAAGATTCTTCAGAAGTTCTTTACAATATAATTTTTTTATTCAATATACCAGCTAAATATTAAGGCTTGTAATAATATAATATACATGTTACCCCCGATACCCACCACAGTATCAGTTTGTGTAGTAGAGTGGTGTGTTACACATTCAGAGATTAAGTAGTGATGTTAGTTAAGTAAATTGAATGGCTGACATTAAAAATACTGGGACTCTCATTCCAATGTTAAAGAAGTTGATAATAACAAATATCGGACAATTTTTCTTTCTTTTCAGGGAAAAATGCTTAATTTGTTTCATTTCAAAGTAATGAATTATTATTAATGCAGTTAATGACTTGTGCATGACTAATGTAGTTGTTTCTGTTCTATTTATATATCTAATTAAGCACTACATGTAACGTTTTATCTACTGGTAATTTATCAATAATTTAATAAAATAGAGTTGCTTACTAGTTAGCACAAGAAAAAAAACCTAGAAAGGTAACCTTAAACATCAGCACATTTCATGTGTGTGCATGCATGTGAATAATATTGCACGTGTGTATTTGTCATGATTAATGTAGAAGATCTGGTGTTTATACAAAATAAAACAACAATGTAGTGACTAAATTATTTCATGAAAAAAAATCTTGTAATATTTGAATTTCACCACAGAAGTAAAAGAACATTTATTAAAAAAATATTTTACATTGCATCATTGCATTGCATTTGGTGAGAATCTTACGAACACTCTGTGCATTTAAATGATAATAATTCTGTGATAAAGTTGAAAAGCAAAATATTTGATACTTTCCTACGCTGCTAATCCGCCAAAAATGTAGTCCTTGTAAGATTTTTAAATTCAGTTTACAATTTCTGTGTCAGATTGTCAGTTGAAAGAAGGATAGAAAAATATGATTGTTTTAATTCTTAACATCACAATATGAAGGAATTTCATGTAAATATACTTTTGATATTTTAATTAGTCTGAAACATGGAAAAAATCACTACTAACAACGATTGTTTATTGTCTCCCGTTAAATTCAAACTACATGTATTTCATTTGCAGAGCATAGTTTACAGTAATAACTACGACAATTAATATAATTATCAGCGATTTGTTTAAATTTTGTGATAAAACATCTGCATTTCAGATCATGTAAGTATACGAGTTATTGCTACAGCACTGTGTCTAGTTTAAATTTTGTCTGACATAAAGATCTGTTAGTGATTCTTTTGAGATTCGTCAAATATGCACATAACGTTTGCAACAAATACTCTATGTGATTAAAAAGATAACTCATTTTGGCAGCAGGAAAACAATTATTATTATACGTCTTTTTTTCTTGAGAATTTGTAGTGTACTGTTATGAAACGAATACTATTTATTTTGAATTAGATTATACTAAATTGCTGTCAATACAAAAAATAATAATAATAATAACTGCATAAAATGCAAAATATGCGTGTAATTTTCAAATTTATAGTCTTTAAGTGGTTTTAGTTAATGACACGCCCAACACTTGACACTTACTTATATCAATTTTAGCTCCAGGAGGCTATAATGGTACTGATCCAAAATTGAACCCTTACCGCTTAATGGTTGTATCGGCTGGCTGTAATACTTGGAATGAAAATAAAGAAAAATGGAGATCGGATTCATGTCTGGTAATTTCAACTTTATTCTTTTTAAATTTTATTATTCTACAAAATATAGTTTTTTATTAAAATTTAGTATATTATCCATATTCTTTTCTATTTCAACCAAACAAATTCATTTAACTTTAATTTTTGTATTTTCTATCTGCCGTAAGTAAAGAATCTAATCCAGTCCGAACTACAGATCTTGTTCCTAGTTTGGTAAAATGCATTGATGGGAGTCGAAAGAGACACTAAATTTTACAGCCGATTGCAATGTTACGTATGCTGAAGAAATCTAAATTTGAACTTTTAAAAAACCCTGCTATATAATGGCGATGATATGTATATCTCCAAGTGGCAAAATTTTAAATAGAGTGCGTGTAGAATTTTTGTAGCATGTAAAGAAAAACTGTCGAGTCTTGCTTTATCGTTTTTTTATATAATATGTCGAGATTTAGATTTTTCTAGTATTCGTGTTAACAATACATATTGAATGCTAGACTTTTGTTCAACGAAAACTAGTGAAATGAAAATCCCTGCCAAAGTTATTGCTAGAACAGGAAACTAGGCACTGCATTTCCATATGATTGCAACGACCACATAAATAATGCATAGAATCCTTCAAGCCCACAATGTGCCAGTTTGAATGCGATGAGACTTTTTTTACAATGCACCTAGACGTAGGCGTAGTCGATCTTACAATCATATACGTGATTTGTCTTTTGATTCACTTACCTTACGTCAATAAAAATAAGTCTTCATCACATTCGCACTAAACTTAACTCTGTTCCATTGAAATTTTTATCGACTAATTAAAACTAAAGCAGGACAATACTTGGATTTATTCAACTGCAGAATACAAGCTGGTATTTGTGATTCTGGATTTACAGCACACGCTCTTTTAGCCACCACGAGAGTCGGAAGTTAATACTTCCGATTCAACCTGTCGGTTCCGTAAATTTGCAGAAATAATGCTGTGAACATTAGTAACATTTTAATCATAAAAAAAGTTAAGTCTTGCACTCCAACATATTTCACGTTGATGTTTACAACCTGCACTTCCTACAGATATTCCCAAATTGTTGTTCCAAACATTTCAATTATAAACAAGCCTTATAGTGCCTAGATGTTGATCATCTAGAACAAAATCCCCTTACGTGTTCTTGCTCCTCTCCTTTTCTAAAGTATAATATCACCGGACACGTCATTACTAGTGATGTAAATATAGTTGAAAATGACTACCTAAAAGCAATAATTTTTTAATAATAATTTTCATGTATATGCCGACTCGATAAATCTCAATGAATTTGAAATAAAAGACACCATAGAGTCTGCCATATCATTTTCATATTTGGATGTTTCACTGCCTATAAACACCTACTAACAACTAAACTGTACGATAATGGCCAAATAACAAACAGTATAACAAACGAGATGACTTCAGTTTTTCTATTTTCCTTATTTATGTAGTAATATTCCACTACCACCTGCATATGATGTTTATGTCTCACAACTTTAATACTCAAGAGAATGCTTTGAGTACGATTAATTAAATAAGTTGACGTTACAGGGATTTCAACCTCGTTTAAAGTCAGCATTTCGTAAATCCTACAATCGTTTTAAATGATCTTGGTAGCAAATACAACATAACATTAGTCGTATTTTGGCTGACATATTTTTGTTAGGCCTTTGTTTTCATACCTTAATTTGACTACGGATTACTCCGTCTGGTCGATCAATACATAGAGCTCAAGGCGAGTGTAACCGGTCGACAGGGGAATCTTACTCCCTCTAGACACCTGATCCCACCTCTGAAATTTTCGGGGGGGGGGGTGTTCTATGCCCTGTTCAAAGATTTTATTGTTGTTTTTTGTTTTTTTGTTTGTTTGTTTTTTTTTTTTTAGATCGAACAGTGTTCGTTATCCTCACCTATTTCATTATGAAAGGTTTTCATATTTAATAAACTTTTCCTTGCTAGGAGATAAAGCTATCAACATGGAATTTTCAATATAAATGATTAAATTCACAGATTTTTAAAAAATAAAGATGGGTTTCATGAATTATTATATTCACAGATGGACTGGAAACCAACTCAAGGGGAAGTAGCGTGCGAATGTACGGGCCAGAATGGGATGACTTTTGCAAATTCTTTTTATGTTGCTCCAAATACCATTGACTTTGCTACAGTATTTCTGAAATTTTCACCCAAGGACCAAGCTGCAGTGTTGGCAACATTCGCTCTTATTTTAGTTCTGTATATTGCGCTGATGATTTGGGGCCGTCATCAGGATAAGAAGGACATTGTCAGGGTATGTTTAATTGTCGTCTCTAACCAATGTTTTTTCACTCATATCGTTAAGGCAGTTAAAAATCCATACTGGGAAGACTTTACATTAAAATCTTTTTTTAAAGGAAAATATCGTTAATTTTGGAAAAATATAACCAGTTTTTACAGGGGAATTCATGTTTTCGACTGTGATTTTAGGTCTTTAAAAACACTGTCAATCTTACATTCTTACTTTCTTCCCTGTGTAATGTGTATCCTCTGAATTTCTCCATTAGCGTCTCATTATTTCTATTTTATTCAAGTGGGGCGTAACGCCTTTGATTGACAACTTTGTTGATGATACTTACTACTATCTGATTACTGTATACACTGGAATGAGGCGGGGCGCTGGAACGAAGTCACGTGTTGGCTTCATTGTGGCGGGAGAGGACGGCGATACTGGTGTTAGAGAACTATTTGATGGTGTCAGAACGGTAAAAAGGAGACATTATTTCTTCAGCAAATAGCTATAATCCTTTACTTTTCTTCTGATATGCTATAATGATAATAATAATAATAAAATGATATATAAATGATGTCAATATTTTGTTGGTAAACTTTCAATTTTCAGCAGTATAAAAAAAACTCTTTTAAGTTACACTTGGAGAAACTAATAAAAAAAAATAATGACAAGAAATAAAAAGATAGAAATTGACATAGATAAATAGGGAAAAGTAAGGAATATGATGAATTTATTTCAACATGAAAATTATGAAGAATTACATAAAATCAAATTTTTAAATTTTTTTTTCAATTCTTTTTTTTTTTAATATTGCTGTTGTACAATGGCCTTGAAAGTGATCTAGAAAAAATGCTCCATATGCGTATCATTCAAGCATACTGAATGTTTTAAGAATTATCAAACGTAATAATCGCAAAAATATGTTTTGGTCAGGAATTTCGCACGGCTAGTGTGAACCATTTCCTTATGGCCACGTCACAGCCCCTGGGACCGTTGACATATCTCTACATCTTTCATGACAACTCCGGAGAGGGGGAATGGTCATCATGGTACCTCAATCGTGTCGACGTAGAAGACCTCCAAGATCGGACCAGGTAATGTAAATACGTCTTAATAACTCGATTTGATTTGGAACACAGATTGGAGGAAACTAGTGGAATAGTGACATAATGATCTTTTTCAAAAACGCATGCTGCCTTCGAACACGGTCAATAAACGTATATTCTTGACATACAAGTTGTTCACTTTCGAACCTATTTCCAACAAAAACTTTTTTTCTCCCTGAAAACAAATTATTAGAAAGAAAATTATTACAAGACTGTAAAAGATGTGTCATTTTATTGAATTCCAATACAGTATATATACAGTGTCCGTCTTATTACAGTTTGTTTGTAAACGTATCTATTGCATTATTACTTTGTCGTATAAATAAGTCCGAATGCCTTATCCTGTTAAACTAAAAAAAGAAAATATAATAATTACACTTCAGTAGATATTCAGTATAGATTTTTAGAGTGAATATACCATCTTGACACTTACTTAAACTGCCAAAATTTCTTTAATTTTTTTTTTAAATCCATGTTCACAATTTTCAATCTCTCAATTCCTCAGCTATGAGACAAGACAGTTTTAAAATAGTCGATAGGACAAAAGGAAAATTAAAAAATATATGTATTAAACGGGAAATTCAATATTTCAGTCGGATATTGAATTTATTTTACTCGTGAGAAATATATTTTAATGAAATCTGTCCGATTCGTAAAAATAAATTTCAAATCCAACTATAAAGCATTGAGTATCCTCTATGCATATATTTCGATTAACAGTGTTGTTCTTACGTTCACCCATAGTTTTGATTCTGAAAACATTTTTAGAGCTGTTGAAACGGTTTTTAAATATACATGTACCTGATATCCCATTTTCATATAATATCTGTCGTTTATTTTACAATTTTGTTGATGACTTCAACTGAATCGCATTGGATAAGAATTGAAAGCTGTAAGAATTACATGAAAACTATAAATGATATACCTCTTGATATATAGAGCATAGGTATTTAAAGTCTTGGAAAAGGTAAGTTCTATAATTCGAGGTAACATACATATATGTGACTTTCATATTGAAGAAAATTTTAATACGAATATCAAGAATGAACCAAATAAACCAAAAGTAGATAACTCACCGAAATACAAAAAAGCTGATGAAAAAACTCTTCTGTTCAATACTAATTTCATTCAAGGTCACCACAGCAACATCGATAAACAATCGTAAATTCAAATCATTAACAGCCTAATGATTTTCTCATGAGTCTCCCAATTCTTAAATTATTAATGAGGTTATAAATAATTACTATGCTTCACTATCAGAAAGAAAACAATATCTCTCAGAGTAATTGATTCTTATTGATTTAAAATACTTTCCTTTTATATTGAAATAGGTATAAAAAAAAAAACTATGAATTTACTCAACATTAAATCAGTTTTCTATTTTTAGTATTAATTATGAAATGGAGGCGAATGCTTTTAAAATGTATGTTTTGAATACTAGCTTGATTGAAATACACTTCTTCGTATGTTTACTCTACATATTGTAAAATAGATAAATTACACTGATAAGCACCGAGAAAGTGTTATCATTTTTGCGCTTTACTCATTCACATTGTTGTTCACTTGAAAACTAGGTTACTTTTCTAAACACCATTTGAATCCCCAGCAATATGTTCTAAAGCTGCACAACAAACACATTTTCAAAAAAGCATATACATGATGATTTATAATTATACATGTATCCCAAAGAAGAAAGGATCTTTATTGATAGAACTGATGGAATTTTGCTAATTTGATTACTTGTGGCTTTGTCTTGAATAGGTTTGTCTTCATGTGTGGTCGTTGGCTGTCGCTGGACAACCTGGAAAGCCAAGTTGAGGCCGTTCTTCCCGTTTGTGGCCGAGAAAACGTCACAACTTTCAAGAATATGTTTTACATTAACTATAAAGAAAGTTTGGCCGACAATCATCTCTGGATCTCTATTTACTTCCGGCCGACTAGCAGTCATTTTACTCGAATCCAAAGAATCACGTGTTTATTACTTTTTATCATGTTGACAATGATAGGTAACGCTGTGTACTTCAGGCCTGAAGATGAATACGAAAATCCAGAAACAGTTAAACTAGGTCCTCTGCAGTTTTCCTGGCAAACGGTATTCATTTCAATAATGAGTACCTTAATCTCTACGCCAGCAGTCATTCTGGTCGTCACTTTGTTCAAGAAAGCTAAACCACGAGTAACTGATTACGATGTCAAAGATTCTTCACTCAAATATTCTTTACCGGTCATAAACAGTTTCATGGACAAAGTATTAAAGGAAAGTAAGGAGCTTGAGCGCACTTTGGTGGCAAAAGGCGTCATGAGCAAAGATGGAACAATACTTCCGTTTTGGGTAACTTACATTGCTTGGTTTTTGGCGCTAGCTGGAAGCTTCACTTCTGCGTTTTTTATTATGCTGTTCAGTATGGAATGGGGAAAGACAAAGACAGAGATGTGGCTGGCACAATTTTTCCTCTCCTTTTTAGAATCAGCATGTATTCTGGATCCATTAAAAGTAGGATTTATTGCTTAATGATATTTAGTTTACGATTATTAAATATTTATTGATAATCTGCAACGTGGGTGTAACGTGGCGTTCTTGTATTTCAGGTTGTAATGATGGCGGCGGTATTTGCTTTAATATTTCAACAAACTGAAAAATTCCGACCATCAGGTCTGACCCGGGAAATTGTCTTGAAAAATTACAGACAGAGATATGGACAGGAACAGAGTAGGTTATCTTATTTAGCAAATGCTTCAAATTCTGTACAGCGTTCTTAACTTATATCGGCTTGTCTCAAATTATAAGATTACACGGAGACAAGTATTAATGTTTGCACGTTTTTGTGATCATCTGCGGTCGATCAAAGTTGATTCCACTCGAGGCATCCGCCATTTGTCACCATTTTTGCGCACGTGATAGACTACTTTGCTACACAATGACAATATCATGGAATTTTTTTCGTAGGGTTATGCATTAAACACCAATCATTTCTCTAAGATGCAAACGTATATAAATACAGTGTGTACAACTGTACGTTTCCTCTGTATGTGGAAGAATTTCGTTCACTTCTGAAGCGGAAGGTCACATTTTCCTTCGGAGAAAAGTTAAATGATTCATTCATTAGTGTTTCGAGTCCTCCACATCCCATGACTTGTGACGTGAAAAAAATTAATTGTTGTTATGCTTTTTAAAAGTCGTGTTGGTAAATGAATGATTATCAAAACAAGTTGAATGTGTGGAGGCACCTTAAAAGTTACGGGAGGGAAAATTTGTACATGGTTCAAAAGTGTGTTCTCCATGTGAAATGCTTGCAAAACTCCTTTCCCGAAAAGTAAAAGAACCCTAAAACAAAAGTGGCGTCACGGATTTTAAAGCCTTTAACTGTTCAGTACATTCCGTGCTATAAGTTACGGTAACGTTTGATTATACATGTATATCTGATTATCACAAGTCCTGGCCGATCATTTCCTTGAAAAGGAAAATATTCATATTCTGGACATCTAAATTCAACCTCATTTCTTTTCAGGTATACGTATCCCAGCACCACCACTTAATCATTCACTCTTGGAAAAAGCTAGAGAAGAGCGCATGCGCGACATTAAGATGATGGACTCTGTGAAACAAGTCTTTGTCACGTTGATTTATATATGGATCATCTACAGTATCAGTTTCAGTAACCGTGATACTGGATCTTATTATGTTCAAAGAGACATATCCAAACGCCTTCTGACTCCCTTTGGAGCACAAAAGTTCGAGGAGGTCAGCATTTATTATATAAGAATACGAAATGTTTCGAAAACTGTTAAAAATGTAAAATTCTGAAGTTCGCAACCCCCATCACAGTTAAGAGTTGTAGCATCATTAAGGGAAAAAACATTGTTTTCTCCACTTTTAGATTAAAACAACAGAACAGTACCTTGATTGGCTTAAAAAGGTGGCGTTCCCTACCCTGTTTCCGGAGAAGGAGTACAATGGAGATCGCCTCTACTGGAGACACAGGCAATACGCTGAGGGTCTAACTAATTTCAGAGTTGGGCCTCCTAGACTCAGACAAGTGAGAGTTGTAGAAGGTAATTGTTTCACCATGGTCCATTGACCTCAACTAATCAGCTTTATTTTTTTTTCTAACTATTGAATAAAGTACATAATTATATTCAAACAAAATGTATTTAAACAAATACGAATTCTTTATACCAGGTGAGGAAACGATTCATCCCTTTGGCAGTGTTAAAATATATCCATCCTACAGCATTCTTAATGAAGAGGCACGCAGCTTTTGTTTTGGATGGGCGAAACTTCCCTGTGATATTAAGGCAGAAGCTTATTCATTCTCTTTCAAGGCCTGGAAGTACACAAATCCATTTGATATTTGGGGAGTTCCGGTCTTAGGTTACTACAATTCGTACTCTGGTGGAGGGTACATCGCAGAGCTAGATGTGAATCTTGACTTTACAAATAGGACCATGCAAGAATTAACCCAAAACTTGTGGATAGACAGGTCAACAAGAGCTGTGTTCTTTGAATTTACTGTATATAATGCTGATTTTAATGTATTCACTTACAGCATGCTTGCAACGGAGTTTCCTGAAGTGGGAGGGGTAATGACAATGTCAACAATATATCCATTCCGACTGTATCATCATGTTGGACAAACAGGATATTACGTCATCTTCTGTGAAATTTGTTTTGTACTATTTTTGGTGGCTCAGATTATAAGAGTCATATATTATCTTTACAAACTTCGCTTACAGTTCTTCAAAAGTACATGGCTCGTGTTAGACTTTGTTGGTATATTCTTAAGCTTCGTTGCAATCGCTATGTACGCGGGAAGGATGCTTCTAGCTAACGAAACTTTTGCAAAGTTCAAAGCAGATCCAAAGGCTTTTGTCAATTTTCAACATATCGCCTACTGGGATTCCCTTTTTATTATCCTGATTGGGTTGTTAGTATTTCTAGGAACAACAAGGCTACTTGGGATTCTGGGATACGACAAAAGGATCGGACAGGTGTTCCGTGTGTTCGATAACTGTGCTTGGGATTTATTGTGGTTTGGGGTCTTTTTCCTCTGTCTCTTTGTCTTTTATGCCATACTAGGCTACCTTTTGTTTGGACGAGACTTGGAGTCATACTACGATATTTTCCAGTCACTCGGAACACTCTTCATAAGTATGATCGGTAAAAGTAAATTCAACGAAATAAACGAGGCAGATCCTCTAATGGCGCAGTTCTACTTCTTTACCTATGTTCTCTTTATCGTGTATTTCCTCTTGACCATGTTCTTAGCGATTCTTTGTGAGAGCATTAATGTGGTGCATCAGAAAACCAAGCTGGACCGTTCGGATGAACTAGTTATGTACCTGATAGATAAAGTCCGAGATTTCTTCTCAAGAAATAAGGACGGCAAGAAAGCACATAAAGGTATTTTTGATTTTTGTTGCTGTTTATAGTGTTTTAAGTTCGTATTACTTCTATGGCAATGCTTTATATTTAAATATACTGAATATCTTTTAATTTTTGCGATAATAGATTGCTGTTAATCTGAATCAGTGAACACAATTTACTTCTTAACTAAGTTTTAGATCCGTATCTTTAATACATCCGTTTGAAAGATTTTTTTTTCCAAAAGTGTCGATAGTCAACTGTTTCAAGGTTCTTCCATCAGTGTACCGCAGGGATCGATTGTACAATATTTTACATACATTCAACCACTTCATACCATATAAATAAATATCAGTGTATTAAAATTGAAATCTAAGAATAAATGTTTTTCTTTCATTGTTTATATGAGAGTGACAATCTTTGCATAAAAAAATCACATACTAAGTACTCTTAAGTTGTTTGTTATTTTTCTAAAAAAGATTTAACAAGAAAGTAATTTCGATGTATAACAGTAAATAGGGTTTGAATTTATAACTACTGCAAGATATTCGTGATTTTAAAAAAATGAGAACAGTTGCTAAATAAATTTACAAAGTTAAATTAGAAGAAATGTACAATTTTTATCTAATTCTACTGATATCACATTTTGTTCAGATTTCACCTCTATCATGGCCGAGCACCAAAAACCACTGAATTTGTTGAAGGAGCTTCGGAAGGATATCGATAGCGCCATGTCTGCCTATTCTGAACAGGAGGACAAGGACAAGCAGGACAGAATGGTAATAAACAAGCTTTCTTAGACTTGGAATGTTGATTTCTTATCATAGTGGTAATAAACAAGCTTTCTTAGACTTGGAATATTGATTTCTTCAATGTTTTTTAGTCTTTCAACATGAAAATTTTGATATAAAAGAAAAGTTTTATTTTTTTTTAAATTCTAATTTAATTTTTTTTTTAGAAGAAGTATTATTTTTCTTAATATATTTTTCTTTCTTTAGAAAAAACGGGGCAAAGAGTTTCTGAAGAAATTGGAGCAAGCAACTTAAAACAACGAGAAAGCAATGTTTAATTACGTCAGCAGGGCTCAGAATTAGCTGAAGCAACACAGCAACATTATGAGAAACTTTATGTTGAATAACTTTTCTTGTTCTGAACAATCTATTGTCTAAATTTTGTTCAAAGTGGTTGGGGAACTATCTGTGATAACTTTCATTTTATCCTATTTTTAAAGATATTATTTTAAAAATCTTAGGAAATAAATATTATTGATTAATGCAGATAGTTGAAACTTAAGATCCCCGAATCTATATCCACACCATATTATTTACTAAAGGTTTGCAATGCTCATGTACATGTAAATCTTTAAATAATTCTTCAACTTTTACGAATACACAAATTGAATACCATTTGTGTCATTTTTCTAAACAATAACGGAGCTCAATTCTGTTTGAGTGCAATATCTAAATAACATCGAAATTTATAATTTTTTAAAATTATTATTTTACCTGCTTAGAGACTTTCAATATGACAAATGGCAAATACCAAGTCGCGCCAAGCTTAAGGACAATTAATCTTATTTCTCATGTAGAGTTTAATTTTCAAAGATGTGATTTTTTTCATGTATCAAAAGATCTTTTTGTCAAGGACAGTATTCGAAAGAATTAAATCAATCGTGATGGTACTTGCTATAATCGCGCTTTTTGCTTTTCCTTTTTTCTTTTTTTTTTTTTTGTTAGTTTGTTTGTTTGGTTTTTTTTTTTTGAGAATACAAAAATTCGTGAATGTTTTACTTATTGCTATATGGACATTTTTAAGACCTGATATGCACTCGCGAACCGGTGCCGAAAGAAAAAAAAAGAATAAAACGCCTGCCAACTTTAAACCCCAATTCAATATATATATGTACTGCTATATACTGCTGTGATGTTAATACTGGTGACTCTTTCTCTGTTATTTGTAGAACTGGAGATATTAAATTGAATGTGGAAACTTGACTTCTGTGTAAATAAACATTCTTCACGTGTTTGAACGCATGAGGTATGCATTGTTATAATAAATAATTGTTAATAATGATCAGTGAGTTGTTAAACATAACATATAAAAATATTTTTGTATTCTATACCTTTATCCGTCCAAATATAAACATTTCAGTTATTAGTAAACATGCATGTGTGATTAATAAACAATTAGTTTACTGAATGTTTTACAATTTTCTTTATCATGGTAGAAAAATATCCTGTGGCCAGCAAGTAATAATTCCCAGTCGTCCGTCTAGCTGTCTGCTCATTTGCATATGTGTGCGAATAAAGCTTTCCAAAGATTCACAATTCACTACTTTATAGCTTATTCATTTGAGAGCAAGGTTCACTCTATGCAAGAAAAAAAAAAAAGAAAAAAAAAACCGTTCACTTTATGCAAAAAATAATCCTGTCTAGTGAACAGCTAATACACTGTCACCATCCTTATTTTAAGATAGAGAAATGATGCGCTTTCAATACCTCTATAAACAGGGAAAACTTCGCCCCAGTTTTATTTTCGCCTTGTCGCAAAAAGACACGTTTATCTCTTTAACAACTTTGTCTAGGCGAATTTAAAACTGGGCAAAACCGTTGGCAAGTATGATATGCCTAAAATTAAATGTGGCGAAAATATTGTTATCAATTCTGCTGGGGATCCGCGTATGGAGAATTTTTTTTAAATGCAGAAGTTCTTGATTTCAAAGAAAATTTATTTTTCGCGTACATTCTACGAAGAATAAAAATGCCAGCAAGTTTTAACACAGGGGCATCTAATCCGCTCTGTTCTCTACTACATATATAACATTTTTATATGTGTAGTAGAGAACAGAGCGGATTAGATGCCCCTGTGTAGTGATCAATAATTATACTAAATCTTATTAACAATTTGTTAACATGGCAAACACACAAATCCCTGGAAACATTGGATAAGAGCGTATAGGAGTAAGCATCACATGTCGACTACACTTGTCCGCCGTGAGCCATCTGCATTGATCAGATAAATTAAGTAATTAGTTTTTTTTTTTAAATAATTGTTTAACAATTGCTGTGAAACATGGCAGTCAATATTCGACCCAACGAAAGGTTGTACATATATTTGCAAACAAGGTTATTATAATGACCTTGGAATTTGCAAAATGCTGAATTTTAACGAGAATATTAAAAGCAAAGGTACATAAACCTATTTAGAATCTGTAACTTTCATGTGGTTCTGAAATAAGAAAAAAATTTGATACGAAAATTTGGAAAAAATGTTGATAAATTAATAGATCCTTTTTCTTTCTTTCTCTACCAGAATCTTTTGCGTTAATGTACAAAGTCGCATGCCATTTAGTCGCACTATTGTTTGTTGTATGTCGACAATTTAATCGCCAGCAGTATCATGATTGGGACAGAACGTTTTGTAGCCAGCGACAATATGGACCAACAGGTACCCTCTTGGCACAAATTGTCATCCATCTGTACATACTGACCAAGTGTACTGAGACGAACATTTCTTTTCCCAGCAGAATGGCAAAGTACATCGCTTGATTATTATCTACATGTTAACATTTCCACAGGAAATAATGCCTTACACTATGAAAGGGACACACGGAAGTTATTTCTTTCTGCGACGGGAATTAGTTTATATAGAGGATATTCAATGTTTTGTAGATGAATATGGAATTTATTTCACGAGTGGGAAAGGATTTTTTGATATTTTTCACGAGTGCGAAGCACGAGTGAAAATATCAAAAAATCCTGTCTCACGAGTGAAATAAATTCCATATTCATCTACAAAACATCGAATTTTCTGTTTATTACATTTTCTTTGATTTTCCCTTTGCCTCGGTCTTTTCTTAAAACAGTGACATAGGCCTGACGTAATAGTTGAGCGGTTGAGACGTCATAGCTTAGCAGTTGTGTGATTGAAAACATTACATAGCATGGATTTTAGCAACACATTTGGGAAGGAATTTGCATTTAGTTACTATCTCTATCTTATGACAGGCCAGAAATTATTTTTTACTAACTTTGATATCTTTTCACACTGTGAGAGAATATCATTTTGGTATCCTTTCACACTGTGAGAGAATATCACTTTTATTAAATAAATAAATCACAGTATTTCACTGTTGAAAATGTAATAAAATACGTTTCGTCATTTAGCTTTCAATGTCTTATTATTTAATACTGGACTATCTAATTAAACAATAATTATGGAATCTTTAGGTGATTAATATGGTTTGATATACAATTATTATTATAAAATATTAATATTGACCTCTGCGTCGCCTCAGATTCAATTTTTAATTAAAAATAAACATTTTTAAATAAATCAAAGTTGTTCAATTTAACCTACTATGCCTCGGTCAATATTTATTTTTTCTGGTGAATATAGCAAATCATATTAACCACCTAAAGAGTCCATAATTGTATAATATCGCCACGCACGATCTAGAAATTGTGCGACCCTTGGTAACGGTAACTTAAAGCTACATACTTTAAATAACTATTTTTCATAGAAAAAAAACCCACCAACTTCAAAGGTTAACAAGACTTTTATATGGCATAGTTATAAAAACATGATGACTGAGTGAGGCCGAATATTGAGAAAAAGACGCTTCATGCAAAAGACAATAGAAACGAGTTTCGATTAACAGTCATTTTACGATAAATGGACCAATTCAGAGTATAAAACATGAAAAAATAATTGTTTCAAATAGCAAGATGAAGATCATAATTCTCTAAAGGACATATCGGTGAGCTTGAAAACAAAGAATTGTCCACAAATCTCATATTGTTAACTTTTTACAACAATTTCAATATACCATTGATTTTAAGGTAATGTTACGGAAGTTAATGCTTGATCATGCCTTATTGTTTTTTAAGTAAAGCTGAATTTGACCAATTTTTCATTTCTGATGTTCAGTAAAGAACGTTAAAGTATGATTCATGAAGTCTCGCATGAATCCGAAATTAAATTAAATTTTCGGGAAAAATATCGTAATTCCCTTCAATAGTTAAAATCAAAGTTTGTTATAGGATATTTAACAAAAGTATGAAGCATTTCTCTACCAAAATAATTTTTTTTTATACCTTTAATGCAAAACCTTCCTGAATTACCGTTACGGAAGTTAAGTTTTTAAGAGAGACAACTGTTTTTTGTAATCCATTTTGTTATGTAGAAAATGCAATCGTCTAAAATAGCTAACTCGCAACTAGAATCGATGATATTAGGTTCCGTGGTCATTTTCAGATAAGTTTCAGTTCTTTTTGAAATCTGCATTCTGTGCGTGAAAGGGGGAGTTTCGATAAGGCCGTTTTTCGGCCTCTCACGAAATATTATGAAATTTTGATATTTTGTACAAAAACTCCTTATCTTCCTAAAAATATGAAAATAAATTATGTTGCGCATGATAATTGAAAATTAAGTATACTCCCTTTCGTATATTTTTGGAGTAGACATTTTTATAGGAGGAAAGTGGATTTTTTAACCGTCAAAATCGTAAATGAAATAGGATAAATATGAATAAAGACATAAATTAACCAGTTTCAACATTTTTTTAACGGAAATTGGTATTTATTTTATGCGAATGTTTTTTTAAGGTGCGATATTTTTCTGGTGTGCTAAATGTTACTTTTCTTTAAAAGAGGATGAATTGAACTTATAAAATGTAAACATATTCAGAAAGTTTTAAAGTCATAATTAATCGACAGTTTATACATAAACTTTATAATCAATATTTAACATTTTCACATACGAAAAATGCAAATGAAAAGATATGTAGACATGATGCATGTATGTAGAAATAGGTAAACGTCAAAACGTTCATATACAGGTATATACAATATATTTTCATCATTGAGGTTATACAACTTCATGGTTTTTTTTTTTTTAAATATGCCTTAATATCATCAAATCGAATTAAAAGAAAAAGAAAAAGAAAAATCGGTACGATTATAAAATAAATGCAGCCTTATATACATACATAAATAAAAAAGTTTATTTAAAAGCATCATGTTGTTCCGGAAGCCGCTAAGTGCAAGGTAAGAAAAATATTTTATCTGGCGACCGCCAAATAGTTTTCCTGCGCCCACCACATAAATAACTGGCGGCGGCCAGAAACTTATCTGGCGGTCGCCACATAAATAACTAGAAGCCGCCAAATAAGATTCTTGCGGTATAGACATGTAATCTAATAAAACATAAATTTAAAGTTGTGAAGACCTTATGAAGTGATTTTTTTGTATAAAGTGTAGATTTGATTTTTGCTAATAAGGCATGGAACTCCCAGATTTGAATACAAACAGAAGTTGTAGATGTCGTTAACACAAAAACACTACAACTTTATCTGGCGGCCGCCAGATATTTCAAAGGCAGGCGCTAGAAACTTATCTGGCGACCGCTAGATAATATATTTTTTTTATCTTGCACCTACGAGCTTCCGTATATTACAATGTATTTGATATGAATAATATTAATTACAGTCAAAATATTTTATCATAATACCTAATTATGTGAATAGCCAAATGATGGAAAAATCTATAATACATTGAGTGTTTCCTTTTCATTATGAAACTTAGAAGTATTTGCTTCCCAGCTCTCCATAGATACTTAAGTTGCATCACCAACTCTAGTCACTTTTCATTTAGAGAGTTTTAGAATTCATTATATTTGATTTGCTAGAACAGAGCGTAGTTCGAAATAAATGATACGAGTTTAATCCTTAATCCTGCAGAAATATGCGCCTCAACTTCCAGACTTAAAACAATCCATGTTCCCTATATCAACCATACGGAAATATATGTGCGCTTCTCTAGCATGTTGGAGCGTGGATTTCTATTTACAAGAAAGTTAAAAATTACAATGCATGAGAAATAACGTTAAGTTATGCAGTTGTTCCAAAACTAATTTTTTGTTTAGTCATTCGGAAAATGTAAGGAAGATCCAGCATCCGAACCATGTGTGATAGTGTGCAATCCTAGATGCATCATCGGTGCAAGTTTGGTCACTATAGGGCTTATAGTAGTCCGAAATATCTGAGGTTTCCCAGGCTTTTTTCACGATTTTGATATTTAACGTGCCAGGAAAACGTCAGAACCGGCGCCATTAAGAAAACTGGAAATTTCGCCTTCTCCAACCGGAGTTGATTTTCGATACTTGCAAACCAAATTAAATGCCAAACTCACAATT